GTAGAGAAGCAGTGAACATTTAATACATCCTTGCCATAGAAAATCAGGCGCACCAATTTCAGTGATGTGAGGTTTATGAGAGCAAAGCTCCTTGACATTTCTCCTCATGCAGAGAAACAGAGTATAAAGGCCTACTGCAACGAAGGAAAGGTTAGACGTGACTGAATGGAGAATCATCATCTCTCTGCATCCATAACCTTAATCTGGTTTCTCACTTAATTTCCAACCCAATATTCCATTTCACTTTATTCATTCAACAAGCATGTAGTATGTATAAGCTGTTTCTAGGTGCTAGGGATGCAATAACGAATCAGACTTCATCTAAGGAAGTTAAATTTGATCCGACTTCAGAATGAAAAAGAGCTAGCCAAACTATGAAACAGGGGAAGTGTTTAATGGAAAAGAAACATGTTCAACAGGGGCAAAAGGATCTTGGATGTATGATTTCAGAATGGAAATGGGATGGGGCAGTGGGAATGGGTGGGACTGCAGCACGCACAAGGGAGCAGGAGTAGAAAGTTATGTGTTAGGGCTTCCCTGGTGGTGCAGTGGTCGAGAGTCCGCCTGCCGATGCAGGGGACACGGGTTCATGCCCCGGTCCGGGAAGATCCCACATGCCGCGGAGCGGCTGGGCCCGTGAGCCATGGCCGCTGAGCCTGTGCGTCCGGAGCCTGTGCTCCACAACGGGAGAGGCCGCAACAGTGAGAGGCCCGCGTACCGCAAAAAAACGAAAAAGAAAGAAAGTTACGTGTTAGAACTATAGCAGTTGTCCAGGTTAAGAAATAGTGGCTTTGGGTATGGTGCCAGCAGGGAAGAGAAATGGACAAATTCAGTGTATTTTGGTGGGTGTTGGTCACAGCCTCTGAGGAATAAAGGATAACTTCTAACGTTGGCTCAAGTACTCAAGTGGGCAAGTGCACAGAGGTGTATTTACTGAGTTGAAGGCTGGAGGAAAGGACAGTGTTATGCAGGAAAATCAAGTTCCTTCGCATGCCCTGATCTCCAACCAAACTTCCTTATACAGAGCCACATTTTCCCAACTCCTTGCCTATTTGAAAATAACAGCCCTCCACCTAAAATGTTTCTTTCTCCCTTTCCCTCCACCAATGCCTACAGCAACCCATCTCTCAAAACTACCTCTAAAATTTCCCTAATTTACCACTCATCCCATTTATCCCCTAAATTTAATAATGCATTCCTCTAGACTTCCTGGAACTTTATTATTCCTATTTCTCTTAAGGAATGTAATACTTCCACCTTGCATTAAGTTTTATCTATCCATCTATCTAAATGCACACACACACATACAGTTGACCCTTAAACAACACGGGTTTGAATTGTGCGGGACCACTTAGAGGTGGAATTTTTCACTAAATACACACTACAATATTACACGATCTGTGACTGGCCGAATCCGTGGATGCAGAACCACGGATAAGGGGGGCAGACTGTAAGTTATACACAAAATTTCAACTGCGCCCAGGGTTGGCACCCCTAACCCCCCATATTGTTCAAGGGTCAACTGTATGTATATAAAATTTCTCAGAATGTCTCATCCATCTTTCTATTTCTGACAGTATTGTACTAGAGTGTTTTATACCTGAGATGGAAAAGACTCACAATCTGCAAGCATTTCATGTTACCTAAATTACAAAGCCTTTACAAATGTAAGTTAGGCTGCCAAGACCTCATAAACAAACACTGTAAATTAAAACAAAATTTAAGACTACAATAGTCAAATTCTTTCTGCATATTGTAGTAGCTGAAATCTAAAGGGATCAACTTCAGAAAATACACCGAAAAACAATATAACACTTAAATGAGACAAAAACTGCAAATCGAATCAATAGAAATTAAGTAGATCAATTTATTTTTGTGTATTTCACAAGTATAATTTTGGAAGGGCTATTTAACAAATTTCAGCATTAACTGCCAACTCTATAGACATGTTCAACAAAAAAGGCATTTACTCTTGGCCCTTTTAATACAGGCAAGTGTCCTACTGCATCACAAATAAAAGATGCAGTAACAGATCTGAGGGTATATTAAAGAAATTAGATTTTTCTTTCAAATGCTGTTTAGTTGATAAATAACAAAATACAAACATAATTAATGGCTGTCGTGACCATCAGTGATTTCCAGAATAAAACCTATAGGCCTACCTGCTTTAAAAGGCAGAAACTAGTAAAACAGTATTAAAATCAGTGTTTTTATCCTTAGATTAACAATCCCAGAATGAGACTTCTTTGATCCCAATTTTACAAGGTGTGGTGTGATGTCAGGGGGAGAAGGGATATGGGGGAAGACTGGCAGTGCATGCTGAATTGCAGAGTTGGGACGGTGGCTCAAACTTGTCATTATCCAGATGAGGACAGTGTTTTAGAAAATTTTAAATGGGTCCTTAATTGTGTTATATTGAGAAGGGTATTAAAGGATTGATCATTCATCAGTCCTAAATACCATTTAACAGATGCCATCAGGCGGCTTAAGAAATAAGCAGGGATGGGAGGGGGGAGAAGTGAAGTAAAATGAGGTGAAAAAGGAAAATGAAAAATGGAAGAAATGTGTCTGAATGTTGGGGAATGTAAAAAGGCCACCACAGAAACTGCTTAAGTTGCCATTCAGACATGCTCTTCCTATTGGATACTTGCCCCTGGATCACCAAACACCAAGTTTAGAGCACAATTCAAGTAGAGATCATATTTCAGCACTGATAAAACTTCACTAATTTGGATTGAGAAAGAATACATGTCTGATTTAGTAAAAAGTATCAATAAACATTCAGAGGTATAGATTTGTTACATTAAGTAAAAACAGCAACAAATTCCAAGTGAAGTAACAACAAGTAGAGGGCTTGATGAATAGTTAAGACTTATTTTTAGGTGAGCAGCAAAGGAATATTGAATAACTTGTAAATAGACTGCAAAAATGCTCCTTTCAGTTCCTCAAAACAATCCAACAGTCCTTACTATCCCAACATGCCAATAATTGTTTTAGTCAGATGTAGCCTTTAAAAATGAAATGTTTCTCAGAACTGTATTATCAAATAGGAGCTACTGGACATAAAACAGATAACTGAGTTCAGACATTAGCTAGTTTTCATGAAGTATTTATCTCCAACTTGTTTATTCCAACATTCATTTATAATAAGAAGGACAATGATTAAAACTGGCCATTTCTCAAACCACAATTCTGAAATCACAGAAATGTTTGATTAAGCCCACCTTGGTCAAAAATCTTCATTCAAGCAATGGTGAAACAGCCTGCAAATATGTCTTCAATTAACTGAGCTTTGAAGCAGAACAAAAACAGAAAAATGTAAAACCTCTATCCCAAGCACCAATAATGGAGGCTAAGCAATTATACCTACAAGTCCTAAATGACAGGTCTTTTCTGATGGAAAATCCTGAGATTTCTATTACTGTGACTTTACAGAAGGCAGGTTGGTTTAATGAGGAAATTTACTTTTAATAAAAAGACAATCAACAATGTTTTATTTTGGGCACTTACTCAGTATTTCACAGATCCTCAACAAGTTTTGAGGTAGGTTAATATTAGCATTGTATTTTACAAATGAAAACTCAGGCAGAGATTACATCACTTGTCACAAACCATAGCAGGAGTCCTACCATAATCAGTAACATGGTCTGATCTTTGAGATTAATCTCTGATGTGTGTGTGTGAATTTAATGGTGATAGCTTGCAAATAGTCATAAAAACAAAACAAAACCACTAGATATTCTACTTTGGGCTATTTTGTAATTCTTAAATAATCCTACAATGATTATACATACTTTGGAATAACCTACATACTCCTGTTAGAAATCTATTTATATATAACTAATCCTTATAATAACAAATTAACACATTATCGATTTTGTTGTTTTCTGCCTTTTGGGGTGGGTGAAGCACGAAGATAATCAGCAAGTTTTCCTCAGAGAGCTAGGCAGCCTTTAAGTGCAGGTACTATGCTCAAGGCACCATCTATGGTGATTTGCGGTCATAGGAAAGCAGGTATACAAATGGAGCCAAGATCCAGAAAAGATGCCTGGATCCAAAAGAGGGGAAGGCCCTGCACAAGTCAAAGATGAAGAAAAACATACTGTCATCTCAGGCTACATATCCTCAGCATCATGGGAAGAGCTCCTAAAAGACCAGCAAATTTGTCCCAGTTAAGTCTGTTAATTAAAGTTCTTACTAACTAGATAAACCATAAGTATTGTATTTTATTAAAGTGACATCTATAGAAACAAAATATCTAAGTATTTATTATGAATATGTTCCACCTATCATGTAAATTGCTCTAATTGTCACAAGCCTAATTCACCTAGCTCATTATATTACTTAAAATTCAGCTCATCCTGACTAGGTTCCTGGGCCAATCTTCTCAAATATTTGTTTCATTATAAATTTCCTTTTATTTAAACAATTGTCAATTCTTAACAATACAGGATTAAGAGTGGTTAATTAACAACTGAGAAATATTATAAGGAAAATATCATTATTGTGTTAGAATACACAGCATTCAATAGAGCAAATTTCAAGAGTAAAGATACAGACACCTATGTTTCTGAAGAGACTGAACGGCACAGCCCAACACAATTTGAGTCAAAGAAGCAAGAAAAAAAGAAGGGAGGGGCCACAGGAGGCAAAGTATTTTATTCTAGTGTCCCCAAAATTGACTATGGAAGTAAAAAGTTTCTACATTAAAAAAGTTTATATAAATTACATGAATTGTAATTTTCATAAAAGTCAAAATGAAATGTTCTGCATAGGACAAAAGATATGCCTAAGCAACATATCATATTTGCACAAGGCCACTGAATGTCATGGATATGAGGAACAAATGAAAAAGCTTAAGTCTATGGCAGCCAAGACTGTAAACTACTCTTACTATGCAAAAGCTCTAATGACACACAGGGTTTTGTGTAGGAACTCTTGTGCTTCTGGTTGGCACATCATCTACTCTTTAATATGTGAAATTAATACAGACAGTTGTGAGAGGTTGTGCAAAACTACTGTATTTACAAAAATGGCACAAAAGTGAATTCAACAGTCGATGCACATGCACACTTCATTCACATCTTCAACAACAAAAGGTATTCTAACACTACAGAACTGAATAAGAATACTCTTCAACAGCAGCTGTTAAGCACTAGAGTCACATAAGTTACACCAGAATGGGCAAATATTGCCCAAGTAAAATTCTATTGTTAAAGCTGAAACAGATTTAAGGCCATTCAAGTTCAAGCACAGGATACAAATCTTTTGAAGCCCCATCTATTTATGTTTGAAATATGTGACCTTTCTTCTAACTTGTGGTCTTAAACTTCTGTTTTACAAAATTCAAAAGGAAAATACAGAAGAAATCAATACAATAAAGGTTACATTAAATAAGAGTAACATACAAAGCTATAATTAAGATGAATTAAAGAAAGCCAAAACATTAAAATTGTAAAACTTGCTTGTTACTTGTTGGAACCAGTCCTACACTAGGAGTTAGGTAATATATATAATTATTTTCAAGTAGATTACTTTACATTGCTCTAACATGTTCTTTTCATCAGTGCACTGTTAAACTAATCAAAACTCTACACATGTATATTCCCTTACACACACACACTACCACTACCTGCAAAGCCATAACTCTCAAACGACTTAGTGAGTGAAAGGAAATAAAAAGTGGAGAAGTAACATATTAAGGAGAAATAATGGGAATTAGAAGATTCATGCAGTTCAGCTCTTTTAATCAGCCAGCCAGCTTGCTAGCAACAAGAGATGGTTTCCGTTGAGGAAGGTCCTGTGGAGTGGGAATGTGGTCACCAGTGACGTCTGTCTTATCCGGAGCTGCAGTAGGAAGTTGCTTGTTCTTCATTTTTGCTTTAGCCATGTTGTAATCCCCAGAATCAAAATATTTTTGCTACAAGAAAAAAAAAATTCAGACTAGAGTTTAAAAAGCTTTCATATGCAATTACACTGGTTTAAGATATAGATGTGACCCTGTACTGTCAAAATAAAATAAACCTAAAAGTTTTTAAACAAAAACATCAACTACACGAAATAGCTATGACTCTACAGTGAGTTCTATCACAAGTCAACAGCTGAGAAGTCAGGCAAGAACCCTTTCTTCAGGCTTACATATATCATTCTAGTTCCAGTATGGAACCCTCAATATTGACATCAACTTCCATATCAATCTATCTGGGAGCTAATAGCCCTGGACTTAAAGAGTGGGACACAAGCCTTTCACTTACTAATGGAAAAACCAGCATGAATTTCTTGTTTAAATGATTTTGAAAATAAAAACACACAATCCACCAACTTGCATTTGGGATGTCACCCACCTCCAATCAAGCTTACAATTATTAAAACTATTATTTATAGTTGCTGGTACTCTGTCATCTAAGATGAACTGTTCTGTAAGGATTTAAACCATTTATTTGAATTACAGCAGTTCACTAACATAAAAATTAAGGTTAAAATATAAATGCTTAGGGTAATAAAAGAAATGAACTCATTAGAAATTAATTATCACTTAAAATACACAACCCTATCCTATACCACCATTTTTCACCTAAGACACTAAGTACAACAATCGCTCTTATTAGTTGGAGATGGATGTGGTAACAACCACACCATTTATCACTGAAATATAAATTGTGGAGCTAAAGATCAACCTTAATATAGATAACCTAATGAATTAGTCTGTTCCGAGGTAAAAACAGATGAATTTGCCTGGGTTATGACTTTCACCTATCATGTTTAGCCTACCTTTAGTGAGTGCCTGCAATACTACATGAGGCACTGTGTGAATCATGAAGAGAGATATAAAGATGGACAACAGTCAAGTAAATCCACTGTTACAGTTTTAAATACATGAGGTGCTATGGTTACTCAAAGGAGGGGAACCTAACCTTTGCCTATAGCATAGACAAGAATCCAGATACGAGATGAGGGCTTGGACAAAGGATGAAGGGGAGGAAATATAAATATTCTCTTTGAGACTTCAGGGGTAACTCAAGTGGTAAATCAAGGAGCTAGGAACTCACAGCTTAGTTTAAGATTGCTGAATGGCCTGAAAAAAAAGGTCTCACTGGCTGCCTCCCTCCAGTGACTATTCTTTTATAAGCATCTGGCCTTAGGCCAGAGTCTAAAGTTAGAAATTGCTTTTCATGTGTCACTACACATAGAGTAGGAAACTTGGACCAGGCCTTTCTAAGACTTGCTGCAGCTTCATTTCTGCATGTTTTAAAATAAGTGTAGTGAAAAAAAAAACCTCAGAACTTCTGATGTACTATATTATATTAGAGAGCTACTTCTGAAGTTTAGTAGCCTCTAAAAGAGAAAGTAGACTGCCAAATTTCTTAGAGTCAAAAGCACAAAATGAGAACTTTAACACATAGTGCAAATTTTAGGCAGAGTTTCCCCAACGTAATAAAGTCTGTTTCTAATGTTACCTATTTTATAGTAAACAAAGGTTCATCACAAGGGGATCACACTTATCTGTAGATTAGGCTACTTTGCTTGAGGAAAAGGAATTAAATTTATTTAGTGTGGTGAGAGAAAAACTAAACTCAATGCTTAATAATTATAACTGCTCTAGGTAGAGGAATGAACTAGATCAATGTTTCTCATATTGGAAAAGATACAGTTCAAGAAGGCAATATTACTTGTCTTTAACAATTTTTAAATTTTGTATAAGTGAAAATTTTAAAAATTAACATATTCTGTACCATCTAGATGACACTCTTATAAGAGCCTTTTCCCACTTCAATTTAAGGGCCATATTTACATCCATATTTATAATTGCATTGACACTAATGGATCACCAAAGTGACAATACTTAATTTTAAGGTCATGTTTCTTAAAACTGGACCCTCAGTTTTCTTGGGACTTCACAAACTCCACAAATACGAAAAAACATGGGCCAGACTGCTGCTTGATATCCCTCACACGTCATATTGTTAAAAGCCTAAAAATAGGTATCCGAATAAATAACATTAACAAGTACAATAAAACAGAAAGGGACCTAAAATACATGATATCTAACCAACCCTCTCAAATGAACAAGAAACTGTTTAAAGATACTAAGATAACTTGTCAGTTTGCTATTACGACAGAGGAAAACTAAAACCCTGTGATTCAGACATTTTTTTTAAAAAAAACTCTTTTAACATAGTAAGAAATTATATAGTTGAATATAACATTTCATTTCCCTAATATAAAAGTGCTTATTCACTGACATTTTGGTAAAATACAGAATCATTCAAGAGCTCCCATCTCAAATTCTATATAAATTTCTTGATTCAAGTGGCATTTTCTTATTGACAACTATTTACATCTATAACACCAACGCCAAGATACAATATATATAAATTCTAACTTGAAAATACTTAAAGTCATAAATCGTTGAAGCTAGAAAAATGACGAAGTCAACAGCCCAAATGTTGGAGGAAAGGCTGTTAGCATAAGTTATACTGAAGATTAGCAAAGGAAAAAAAGTTTCCTAAACACTAACAGTCAAATCCCAAATCCAAATAATAATAATCAAAGAAAATTACATAATTCCATACTAAAACCACATCTGATGGAATGATTTCAAAATGAGACTTGGTACAGATACATTTTACACAGAATGCATAACATGTTTCTCAATGCTGCTTTTTTCTATTTATCCTGTATATTATGGTCTTTGCTTTTCAAATGACCACATAATGTTCTACTTTGTTGACTTATCACAATTTATTTACTATATCTCTGCTGTTGAATAATGGTGCTGCTTTTTATTATAGTTAAAGCTACAAAGAAATAATTGTTCTAATTCATACTCCATTGATTTCTATCCTGGATAAACATTTTTTTGTGTTTCATAACAATATTTCCTCTGCTAAAATCCTTTATCTAGGGCACCTTAATGTTTTCCTTGTGTATTTGAAAAACCATTTTATGTATTACAAATATTAACTAACATTTTTATAATAATTTCCCCACCATATTACTTTTCATGGATCAAGGATTTTATTTTTATGTTTTGGTATAATCCTTCTTTGTCATTCTATTATTTCAAAGCTGTGAATGTCATTCTTTCATGCTATATAAAAACACCATTCTATATTTTGCCACTTTTAAAAGTAATCTGTTAAACTAAAATTAATGTTAAAATATTCTTTTGGTAGAAAGACAATTAGTGTATGACATCACTTATATGTGGAATCTAAAATCATCAAACTCATAGAAAACAGAGTAGAACAGTGGTTGCCAGGGGCTGAGTGGTGGGGGAAATGGGGAGATGCTGGTGAATGGGTGCAAACTTTCAATTCTAAGATAAGTAAGTTCCAGGGATCTAATAAATGGACAACATGGTGTTAACTGCAGTTAACAATATTGGACTGTATATTTGGAAGTTGCTATGAGAGTCAGGCTTTAACGTTCTCACCATAACAAGAAGAAAATGGTAATTATGTGAGGTAAAAGATGTGTTAGCTAACCTTATTATGGTAAGCATTTAGCAATATGTACATGTATCAAATCATCACACTGTACACCTTAAAGTTACATAATATTTTACATCAGTTATAACTCAATAAAGCTGAAAAAAAATTCCCTTGCAATTTGGTTTATTTGAGAAAATAATCCACATATAACTATAGCCAACATATATACTTATCAATGCACACACATCTGGTGGTAAAGAGCTATATACACAGACACCCATTTCACAATCTCTTTCGGCACAATGAGTTCACAGGACTTAAAACATATGAAGATTTACACATGAGAACTTACCCCTTTCTGCAATCGTTTCCTTAAAAAATCTGAACCTCCAGGCTTTTGTCCCAGATGAGGATACCTTGCTTTTAATTTTGCTTCTTCAGCTTTCTCTGGACTAGTCACTTTGTCTTCCATTTCCTGAAATAATTTTAAATAAATTACTTGTCTATTACAATTCAGTTATTTTAGATAATTCCACCTTTTAAATATCTGGATTCTGGTTTTAGTTGTCAAATACCAAATAATGCAGCAACAGACTAAGAAATCAAGCACAGAGGCTTTTAAAACATCTCTGTCTTGTTTTTCAAATGATCCATGTGACAGCTCTATTATAGCTGTGATGCATGTATAACACCCCACACACTGGATAAAAATATCAAGATAGCTCAGCTCTGAAGTCTTGCTTGCCATTACTTTCCAGTCATGTATAATACATTTATAGTTAGTCACCTTCTATGGAACTCATCAGCTCTTTGCCCATATTTAGAGAACCATCTTAATACTGTTAAAATAAAAAAGAGCTTTTTGACCTCCTGTTTATTCAAAATCATATTTAATTGAAAGCTCTGAGAATCTTTAATAGAAATTAACAGCAGCTTACTTACCATCATATTTTCCTTGAATAATGCAGAAGACCTTGTTATTTTTAAAGGAGAGAAACATCATCTCTGCCAATCTTTACATCTGTATATTTTATTGCCTAATTTCTACCCATATTTAATGGAAAACAGTTTTCATGCCAAAGATCCCATCTTTAATGCATCAAAAATATGTTTTCTGACCAAGGACTATCAATATCTTAAGCCTATTCACTTTTAACACAGTCTTGATATAGCTTACTTTCTTCCATATATATATATATATATATATATATATATATATATATATATATATATATAGGCTGTGCCACACAGCACGTGGGATCTTAGTTCCCCAACCAGGGATGGAACCTGTGCCCCCTGCAGTGGAAGCGGGGAGTCTTAACCACTGGACTGCGGGGAAGTCCTCAAGAGTAATATTTTATAGGGAAGCAGTGTTTACCACTTCATGGCAAGTAGTGCAGAAGAAAGAATGAATCAAGAAAAATAGAGCTGCCTTGATAGGGGAGGCTGGGCAATGGCAAGGCATACTTTTTAGCTAATGGACTCACTTCTGCACACCAGCTCAGCAAAATTACACACCTCTGCATATCTTGATTCTTCCAGGTTATTTATGAATAGTCAAAAAGCAGAAATGTTATCCATAAATGTCAAGCCTACTGTTCTTACACAGCAGCAAGTAATCATTTATTAATCTAGGAACTCAAGAAACTTCATATAATTTTTGCATATATCTTCCTCAAAAGTATTTTCATACATGTTTTATAATCAACTTTATTCACCCTATAGATTGTCAATATTTTTTTCCATCTTCAAAAGCTTCCTCATGTGTTGTTACCTTTTCTCATTTTTAGTCTTAGAGGATTTTGAGAAAAAAGCTGCTGCTGCTGTCGAATATACCCTTTCTATGGGGCTTCTTTTATGTGTATGCTTCCTTCTGCTTCAAGTGTTCTACTCTCTTCTTATGCTGCAGTTTCATGCGTCTACATATTTTGATTTTCATTCTTTTTACAGTGGCTGCATCATTCACCCGATGTACAAAAAACTCAACTATGTGTGCCCAGCCAGAGATAGAGACTCTAAATAGTATCGGTGATTCTGCCAGTCATTCCATTCAAAAAGGGTAGCTCAAGTGTGAGGTTTATGACGCAACCCTGCATTCCCAGGAGAGTCTCAATCCCAGAGTATGTCTCTTTCAGAGTGTAAGTGTATCAACATGCTGTTTATCATTCCAGTGTTTAAAAACTCGGCCCCTGTAACAGGAGTCAACTACCTCAGCTGGCAATCAACTGAAGAACCAGCTCGGCCATCTGTTCAAACGCTAGACAAAAAAGTGACTACCACTTGACCTACTGAGAATTGACGGGGCAGTCTCTAATGTGATCATGACTTCACTGGGTTTTTCAAGGGTGATTTCAGTTATATGTGATTTTTTGCCTTACTAACTTTAGAACCTAACCCCTATACAAGATATGACTACATTGTATTAATCAGATAAGCTGGATAAATAATATAAATTTAAGGTTCCCAGTTTAGTATAAGACAGTGCGCTGGGTCACCACAGAGGCTTCACTTCGCTACTACAGCCCCAGGGTATCCATAGTGGTTAATTTATAAGTGGACTTGGGAGGGACCTCCTCTTGGGTTCCACTATACAATTGTTTTTTAAATTGGCTGACGTTAAATTTGGACACTGGTTGAAAAGGACTCCAACCCAATTATAGCCTTTCAGTCCCAGCATCTTCAAATTAAAGGATGTTAACAGAGTCCTACATTTCCACTAAAACCATCCAGCTTTCTTAGGCTTGGGAAATGAGAGCACTCTACTTCTTTGATTTGAATTATCAGTTCTCTGTATCTAAGAAAGATTCCTTAAAATTTCTAGTATGGGGTAGCAACTTTCCCTAATTTCCAGCGTTTCTGGAGATTTCTCCATTTTATATACGAGGGGAAAAAAGTTGTGCACAATATGCCATCTTATCTGGCACTCCCCTATTTTCTTAATAAGGAACACATTTATGTATATATTTACATATAATATTGAATTAAATGAAACAGTTTAATTAAATTGAAACAGTTTACTATCGAAAAATATTTTGGGCAAAACAGCACCTACAGCTGAAAATATTATTTAGATTTACAATAAATCTGTAATATGTCCTAGAAAAACAAACCAATTCTTGGACTTCCTGGCCAAATACACAGCACAATGGCAAGTCCCTGTTAGGTGTAACTTGGCAGTTGGATTCAGGATTTCAGCTACATTTAACACCAAAAGGGTGGAAAATATGACCTAAGCTACATTTTTAAAATGTAGTCAGTACCATCAAGACACATACAATACTTTTAATGGATCATACAGAAACATTCTTAAACCTTCTGCAAATGTATACAGTTCTAGGGCTTATTGATAAGCAAGTTCAAATGCCTGGATGTTCACCAATGATCTGACGCAGGTACAGTTTGCTTGTGGAGTATTAATAACATGTCAGGTGGTGGACTGTGTCCATGGGCATTCAGCCCACACTCACCCTTCTCTAAACACTCCTCTGAATCACCACAGTTAGAATAAGCCTGAAAGCACATTTCTCAGACTGAATTCCTATAAGGTTCTGCCAATGGTACCTACAACAAATTAAAAGGCATGGGAAAAAGAATCCATTTTATTCCTGGTGATGCCACACAATGTGCAGACAGCAGTAGCTCCTGTGTGTTCCTGCAGAAGGGCATCAAGCTCATGATTAGGGTCTATTGTAGCAGCTACATGAGATAGGGCAGAGGATGCTGGGCTCAGAATAGTGCTCACTCTTGCAGTGTCAAAGGTTTTTTTGTAATCCCTCACCTCTGGAAACATCATCTTCCCCTTTCTGCTACTCTATCCTTTCAAATAATTTGTAACCTAACCCCCTAAATCATATCCCTTTCTGTCTGAAATACCCAAATTGATTTCTATTCTCCAGAGCAGGACATTAACTGACAAAATCAGGTAAAATAAGCAATTTACTGAAATAGTTCCTAGAAAGTATTTGTGTAATTTAAAAGAAAGGAGATAATATGTATAGCAGTATGTATATATGTAAACTGCCAATTAAAATTAAAGGAATAAACTGTTGTATAACTTTTGCTAGAACTATTACAAATAAAAAGAGATCACCAGGATGGTCCTGGCAGAATTTGGGGTGACTGGGGTGGACACAGGGCTAAGAGGGAGAAGTGACCTGAGAGTCTACTCCAGATGCCTGACTTTGGAGTTTGAAGAGGTCTTATGTTGTGAGAATTTCATTTCACAGTGATTTAAAATAAAAAGCTGCAATAGAAATTTTTTTTTAAAAAGGCAATTTATCCCTACAGTCACGTTAAAAAATGCAAAGAAGCACACAAAATTTGGTGTGATTGCATGTTTCTGAACATCCTTCAAAGGAATTTCTGAACATTTATTCCAGCTAGAATGAAAATACATCCCTCAAAAGGTCTGAGATAAAGAAGGAAAAAGCAAACAAGAAATTGGTATGTATGTATGTATACTGAACAAGTCACTTTTCTAATTTTTTCCCCAGCTTTACTGAAATATAATTGACACACTTTCCTAATTTTAATGTCTTAATATGTGAGGTTAAAAAAGGACAGAACAAAAATATACAACAGTTTTTTAAAGTTTAAGTGTTCTATGTTTCTGTCTCATTTACAAAAAGATTTATGATATTAATTTTACACTTTGCTTAGTTGAAGAGGCTTGATAAAATTTCAGGGGGAATCAATTTAATAACAAAATAAAGTATATAACTTCCAAACTAATAGTGGGGGTAAAATGGAAGAAGAAAATCAGTCAATTGAAAAAAACAAGGAGGGGGGAGGGGGGGAGGAGGACAAGAAATGGAAAAAAAAAAGACCAAAAAGCTTTATTAGGAATGCAGAAGATCTAATGTTTATGCCTCTAGTAAGAAAGCCTCAAAATAAATAAATCAACAAAATTATAGGGAGCAACTGATAGGTCTATCAGCATAGGAGAGTTCAACAGACCTTCCTCATATTGGTATGTGAAAAAGACAAAGTAGTCAACATACTTGATTTTAATTCTGCATCCAACAATTAGGAAATACATATTCTTCTCAAGGACAAATGGAAAAACTGACTAAATATTAGGCCATAAAGCGAGTCTTAACCATTTCCATCCAGGCCACAATCTATGACTGCAATTCAGAAAGTTAAAAGTCAATTATTTCAAACTGTATATATCCCTGCCATTTGGAAATTAAAGTACATTACTAAATAATTCATGGTTAAAAAAGGAATCATAGGAATAAAAAAAATTACTTGGAACTCACTAATAATAAAAATTCTACACATACCAAATTTGTGGGATACAAGTGTCCCTTAAGGGCTTATATTAAAGAAAACTAAAACTCAATGAGCTATGCATCCAACTTGAGAAGTTAGACAAAGAACGGAACCCAAAGAAAACAGGAGAAAACAAAAAGCAGAAATTAATGAAATAAAAAAGAAAGATACAATAGAAAGGATCAACAAAGATGGGAAATGACATGCTTAACCAAGAAGAAAGTATTTTTAAAAATTCAAATCTGGTTTTGAATCTTTACTCTCCAAGAGGCCTTTGTGTTACACTGAAATTTTACTAGTTTTTAGAAATAGATGCTGGAATATGAGTGACTTCATTTAGCTAAGTGGTTTCTATGCTGATAATAGCTTTGGGAGGAGGGGGGAAAAAGCATCATTAGAATTCTGGAACTTTTACTCTAGGCTACAAACTAGGAAAGCAGAAATCCAGGATACTGCAACAGAGATGTATGCTTATGATGTACAAAAAACAAAAACTTAAAAACAATATTTTAAGTGATAGTTATTCTCTTGGCAATAACATATGCCCCAAAATAATCTTCGTTGTATACTCTACAATTAGCACAGGGCCTAATATTTATTAACGTTAGGCACTTGCATTTTTGTGAATCAGTCTATTGAAATATACTAGCTAAGCTTTCTGTAAGTAGGAGGAGTATAAGGTATAAAAGCATATATATACACATATATAAACATACATATATTCAAATAATTAAGGATTATTTTGTAGTCTGTCATGGAATTGATAGTAAGTTTGAATGATTAATACCACTTTTTGCTCTTCAGCAGGGAAGTTACACAACTACATCAGCAAATAAAAATCTGACCGCTCTAAGTAAATTCTCAATCTGCTCAGCAATATGTTCATTGATGCACTGATTGATGAATAAGATTAATGAACGCCAACAAATCCTTTGGTATAGTGTCAGGAAGGGACCAATACTGTTATCAACCTCTGTGGAAAAATTCTGTAGTTCTATTAAGTCCTTGCTGCTTGCCCAGTCCCCGGCATTTAATTGGTGTTCAATAAAAGTCTACTGAATGAACAAATACAATGTACTCCAGCTGTTTTTTAAAAGTTAAGAAACTTTCTAAACGCGTTATAGTTTCACCAACAGCTTATCTTTGGAATATTTCATGTTTAGTAGACACTATAAGTTCAGGAATAGAAGCTGTTAAGTATTGAAGTCTTGCACAAACAACAGGCAAGCCTAAACACTGTTGCTATCTCAGCAATTTACTATACAACAAATGAAAGAGCCTTTTTTTTTTGAAAGACATTTTAAAACTTTTCTGAGGTTTACTTCTAGATTGTTAAGAATCAATGGTTGCACAACAAACCAGAGGAGCAGGTTGTGGTACAAACTGAATATATCTTAAGCCTTTTGGTTACCAAAAGTACTGTCAAAACAGTCCCAGAAAAGGCCAATATTAACCACGATTTTTTAAAAACTGGGAAAATGGGACAGCAATTTATATCCACTCTTTACTGATGACATAATGAAGTAATTTAAACAGTAGTTCTCTTCCTCCTCCACCAGTCACAAAAGCACCAAGCATACCTTTTAAACTGACAAAGATATTTAAGTTGAAAGCTCTACTTGAGTTAGCCTTTCCCAAGACACCTTACTAACTTAATTTGATGAATTTTGTAATAAAATCTCTAGAAAACCTGTTTTCTAGAGAACCTGCTATTAAGATCTTCTCTAAGAAAAAGTTAAAAGCCATATATATGAAAAAATACATATAAACATCCTTCTACTTTCATTCAGATTTCTTAAGTGGGTCTAAGCTAAGGTTTTTTATATTACCATGGTCTATCCCTCTCTTTTTTTAACTGCAGTACTAGTATCGTCATTTGTATTGACATAGTGCTTTGGCAATAGTTTCAACTGAAAAGTTTGGAGAAAAATTCATTCAACCAACATTTTCAGAACAATGCCAGGCACTATCCTAGGTGCCATGGGAGAAAAGATAGATAAAGGAGAGTCCTGAGTTTAAGATGCTCACAATGAAAACAGAACTATGTGTTTTAAGGCTCCACATGTCCCTTTTCACCCCCAGGATCAGACTGCATGCCTGTCTCAGCTAAGTATTATTCAAAGTGGATGATGGATCCACGAGGTCTCTGCTAAAATAATGTTTACTTTTCACTTCGGTGATAATCTAAAGAAAAATATAAGCATATCTTAGGGCATCTTAATTGTCATCTTATATTTAAGCAGTCCTATGGTGCTTGGGTGTCTGAGCTTTCATTTACTACTCCATTTGTCCAAATAATGAGAAAACTACAGAGCTGAATTTAAAATGTAAATGATCTACCTAAGACTACAGTTAAATGACCATACAGCTAACTCTTAAAAAAGGGAGAACTGAGGGATCATATGGTCTAAGGAAGTGTTAACTTGCCAAACTCAAAAGGCTCCTGTACTTTAACAATTGCTACCATAGTCTCAATACACTGGAAATTCAGTTTCAGCAAAACACCATGTGACAGTGAATTAATAATTTAGAATGTTTTTGTCTGTATTTAGTTTGTTTTAGATTTAGAGTGGTGTAAGAGAGATAAGAGTTTATACTTATTTTTACGTTTGTAATATTTAATTAGTATCGCAATAAAAAATAGTGGCCTATAGTTTTCTTCTCTTAACAAGGGTGCACATACTACTCAGGTAGATAAATAGTGACTTAGCTCTTACTCTATGCCAGGCTCATCATCTCTTTACCTTAGTTTTTCAGAAGCAATAGGCTGACGTACCATAAAACTATAAAGGTATTTTAGTTGACTACTTTGGCTTTAATTCAAAGGTCAATTGGGTACAAAAACAATAATCCAATTTTTTTACGTCATCTAACTATTCTTCCAAATACAAGAAACAGGTGATTTGGCTCACAGGAACACAGAAGTGACTCTGCACATTTTCCTCATGTTTAGGGATGGTATCCATGCTACGGGCACTTAACATCTACAGCCAAACCTTAATTCAAGAAGGGACATTATATTACTAACCTCACACAGCAGCCCTAAAACCAAAAGACCTGAATTAAAATTTTAATGTAGACACAAAAAGAACACATTGAAGATAGCCTTAAACTTGTTAAGAGACATAAATATTAGGCTCTCCCAAGTGAAAGCATTTACAATGCAGAAATCAACACTCCACGCTTTGGCAACATATTAACAAATCTCATAAAAGAAAATTACATAGCACATTATTGTGCGTCAGAAGTCAAAACTGAGCTTGATTTTAGTGTTTAGGACAAGACAGCACAGACATGGGTTTGCTGTTTTATCTGGGCTCCTAAATCCTAAGCAATAATGAACATCACGATAAATATTTTACAATAAATATTTAATATTACTATTATGACTGTAATCCTCAAATTATATACAGCATATATACTTTTTTTTTTGCCCCCAAGTTCGATTTTTAGCAAAGTGTGAAAAATACCCAACATAGTTTACATCGGAATATTCTCGAATAAGGTAGTGACTTGGCCTATTATTTGTTATTGCTTTTTTCTCCAGTTACTTTACAAGTAATATCATAACAGAACCATCCAATTCAGGGAAAGTTAACATGGTAAACAACACATGGAATGGGTTTAAAACACTAATCAAATTTTCAGCCTGATTAGGAGCATGGTTGTAACCTAAAGCAGAAGCCCTTACAAAATCCAAGTATTAGACCAAATCTCATTTATGACAATGCCCTCTGACTCTTTAAATAATTATGGTTATTTAGAAGCAAGCACTAACCTAGACAAATATAAAGCCTTTATATCCATAATCTGAATCACACCGATCCGTGGCCTATTTCCCTACATCAGCAAGGTATTACCAAGTGAGTTCACAAAATGTTCCCATGTTTCCACGAAACACGTGATCAAGTCAGCTGGCAAAAAAAAAATTTAAATTCCAACCTTTCGAGTTTTAGTCAAGCACCACAGGCGAATCCCACTGGCACACATTTCGGAGCACACGCTGCGCCAAAGCGGTAAGTTATCCACCACATTTAAGCTTCACAACAACTGTATCCAGCAAGGACTATTATTCTTATTCTACAGATGAGAAGACTGAAGCTTGAACAGTTTAGTAACTGAACAAAGTTACACGGCTAACAATGACTGGACCTGAAATTCCAACCCAGGTCTAAGTGACCGCCCCAACACGAGATACCGCCTTTAGAGCTAAGAACACGCAGACAATACAAGCAGTTGGACAGTTAGTTCTTCGAGAGAAAAATAAAGGTTCATGAGCCAAGTGTAGCCCACGGAAAAACTTAGGCTCCACGCATAAGGACCAAGTCACGGGCTCTTGTGTACAGTTGAGTATTAAGGGAAACCCCGACACACCCAGGCGCTAAAGGAACGTTTCAGCCAGGACGCTGAGAACCTCCAACTCGCACCACGCCGGCGCTAACTACCCGAGCTCCTGCGGGCGGCCGGTTCCGGAGTGTGTGGCCTTGCCAGGTGAGGAAGAGCGGCACACCGGCTCTGCACCGGCGCCGGGCTGGCTCCGGCTGCGCCCCTTCGCCCGCGGTGGGACCAGGCCGCCGCCAGGCCCGGCCCCCGGCAGCGACGGCCCCGGGCCTTGCGGGCTCCCCGGCCCGCTCCACGGGCACACTCACCTTCTGCTCCTCCGCGGAGGCTGCCTCGGGGACTTCCGCGGACATACTGCTCCCTCTGTGGACAAAACGCCGGGAAGAGAAACAATTACCGGGTGGCCAAGGCCGCCCGCCCGCCGCGCAGCCTCAAGCCCGCCCCGCTCCCCGAGCGCCCGCCCGGGCCGTCTCTGCCCGCAAAAATGGCCGCCGCCTTATGACGACACGCAGCGCCGCCGCGCCCGGAGGGCGGCCACCACTACGGCCCGCCGCCGGCCCGCCGCCCCTTCGGCCCGCCGCCCCTTCCCCGCCGCGCCCTCGCCTACCTTAGCCCGCTTCTCCCGCTCTGCGACGCCCAAGCACTTCCTTCTTTCCTTCAAACGTCGCGGCTCGCGCCTCACCTCACATCCGTCCGCCGAACGCTTCCTGGGAATTGTAGTTTATGAGTGGAGCCGCTTCTCCCCGCCCTTACCTACCTAGTCTGGTCCCTTCGATTCCAGGAGCGTTCCTATTTTCACTTCCCCAGGCTCGCCTGGTTCCGCTCTCCTCCTGGCTCTCCGCGCTGCGGCCATACATACTTTCTTTTGGGCGCCCCATAACTCTGTGCTCCACAAGTCTCTCCCCACTCTGCTTCGCCTTCTTAACCCTATTTTTCACATCTTCAATACTACGTCATCGCCTCGGGCTTTTACTGAGACCCTACTAGGTCAGATCCACCTCTTAAATGCTGTCACATCTCTGCATAGTTCGACAATGCACGCTTTATCATTAGACAGTATTTGTTGTGATTACTTTATGTCACCTTTCCTGTTTAGATAAGCCACATCAGGGCAGGGACCTCGTCCATATTTGCTTATGTTTTGTTCCCAGAGCCCAGAAATTCCTAGATAGTTAATAAATATCTGATGAAGGAATTCAGCTTCTACTCATTTGTCAACTCCCAGGGGTCCACTCCCACAAATTTACTCAAACTGCTGGCACCAAACTCCTCCAATGATTTTTTTAAATAAATTTATTTATTTTAGTTTTGGCTGCGTTGGGTCTTCATTGCTGCACACAGGCTTTCTCTAGTTGCAGTGAGCGGGGGCTACTCTTTGCTGCGGTGCACAGGCTTCTCATTGCAGTGGCTTCTCTTGTTGGGGAGCACAGGCTCTAGGCACGTGAGCTTCAGCAGTTGTGGCACACGGGCTCTAGAGTGCAGGCTCCGTAGTTGTGGCACACGGGCTTAGTTGCTCCGTGGCATGTGGGATCTTCCTGGACCAGGGCTCGAACCCATGGTCCCCGCATTGGCAGGTGGATTCTTAACCACTGTGCCACCGGGGAGGTCCCTCAATGACTTTCTTAATTGCCAAATCCGTTGGCTTTACATTGAATCCTTATTCTACTTGACATCTGAATAGATACAGGCAATATGTGGTGGTTCCAATGAAGCATCTCTCAGAAACTTGGAAATAAGATTGCCCTCTAAAAGTTAAACTAGTAAAAAGCAACAGATGATGAATGCAGTTCTGTGGGAATTTGGAAACCATAAAAACTCAACCAGGTTGTCCTACGTAGACTCTCAGGCAGGAAAAATTGCACTGGGATTGCAACTTGAAAAACAAAAAGTACACTCCTTTTGGAGAAAGAAAAGAAGGGGTTTGTCAGGCAAGGGAGCATTTAAAATACAAGGGTTCAAGAGACTGAGCTCTTTCTTTGACAAGTATATGCCTTGGGAGTGACTTAAGCTGGGCCAGCTGAGAAACTTCATAAGATCAACTAAATATTTGTTCTCATTTCATACTCACAAAGTAACCTACTGAAAATTTGCCTTTCTTTTATGCAGACCTACAGGGAGAAGGCAGAATGCACTAGTCAGGCTAACTTAAGCATCTAACAGTTTTATTTTTATTGAGTTGACATTCTGTTATATATCCTACATCAATGTATTTGTGAGCTAAAATCTGATAGATGCACATATATAGAAAATCAGTATATGTAACCTTAGATAGAGAGAATCTGTTCCTGAAAGATACTGACACTCACATGAGGGAAAGTTTGGATTTCTGGGAGGCAGATTTTGGTCAATGGAGAATCCACAAAGGCCAATGTCCCACTGTGGGGACTGTCTGAGAAGCCATCCTTCCCCAAGTAATATTCCTTTTTGCATCATCAACCATGTACCTTAATGTTTAAAATTACACAGCGATCACCAATTCCCTGTTTCTCAAAACTTTCTTCCCTTGATGTTTAGGATACCACTCCCTTATTCTCTCTTACTTCTCTGGTCATTGCTTCGCTGAGTCTTTACCTGCCTCTTAATGGGAGGATTTTAACAATTCTGTCCTAGGATCCCCTTCTCTTCCAGTTTTATACTTTCTGAGAAATCATTTCCATCCTCATAGTTTCAACTGCCATTTATATATTCTAGATCAGTGCTATCCAAGAGAACTTTCTGTGATGATGGAAATATTCTGTATCTGTGCTAGCCAATACAGTAGCCAGTAGCCATATATGAATAATGAGCATCTGAAATGTGACTGGCACAACTAAGTGAATTTTTCAATTTTATTTAATTAAATTAAATTAGCTACAAGGATTAGAATCACTGAGAAACCCTAGTGACAGAGATTCGCATTAAGTCTGGGGCAAAGTCAAAGAACTGATGTTTAGCCAAAGCTCCCCCTGGTGATTCTGGTGCATACACGCACAAAAGATTTTTCAGGCTTGGAGCTAGGTAGGTATATAAAAGTTTTAAAAAGATCAGGGGTCTTTTTGAGGTTTAGGTGCCCTAGCTCAAGGGTTTGTAGGAGTGAGTAAAGGAGATGAGAAGTCACACCCCATCCATTCCTCAAACAGCTGAGTGAGGAAGTCTACCTGCATCATTGCTGATATTGTAGCAAATATCAAGAACTGAATACCTTTTTTTTAATTGAAGTATAGTTGAGTTACAATGTTGTGTTAGTTTCAGGTGTACAGCAAAGTGATGCATATATATATATATATATTTATATATGTTCTTTTATATATATATATATATAAAAAAAATATGTTCTTTTTCAGATTCTTTTCCATTATAGGTTATTATAAGATATTGAATATAGTTCCCTGTGGTATACAGTAGGTCCTTGTTGTTTATCTACTTTATATATAGTAGCTTGTATCTATTAATCCCAAACTCCTAATTTATCCCTATTCCCTTTCCCCTTTGGTAACAAGTTTGTTTTCTAATTCTGTGAGTCTGTTTCTGTTTTGTAAATAAGTTCATTTGTATCATTTTTTTTTTAGATTCCACATATAAGTGATATCATATGATATTTGTCTTTCTAAAAACAGAATACATTTTTAATGAAAGGGAGAGACTGGAAGATCAATGCAGAGAAACCAAGTTAGATAACAGAGTGCCAAAAAACCCTGAGTATAAATGGTGATGTCTGTGAGAAAACTCAGGGAACATTACCTGAATAAGTAAGTCAGAGAACTGTAAAAAAACAAAAAAAAAGTTTTAACAACTTGAGTGTTGGAAGTGGAGGATGCCACTTCTCTAGGGACTTAGTGAGACAAGAGAACGTTATACGAACTGGAAAGGCTGGAATAGGAAATTTTTGAATGAATTAAAAAGAATGATGAACGGTGGGGTCTGGAAGAGATGTTTAAAACTTTAAACATTTAAATCTCATAAAATATTTGCCACAATATGTTTCTAAAACTTCTCACAACTGTATTTGCATGCCTCCTGACCGTATACTAAGTTGAAGGGCCTCTGAGTTGCTTTAGGACATTCCTTCCTAAAGTCTTTTATTTTTTAATCAAAATATTTTCCCCCCTAATGATTAATAGGCATTGCCTTATTATATAATCTCATTACACAGCAAATTAACTTTTTGCCAAGAATATTGATGAAAATTATATTTTGATGCCAGGCCACAATTTGTAGTAGAAAAAAGAAAAAAGAAAAAAGGGGTGAAATGCCAGTGTAGTAGAGTGGAAAAAAGAAGATTTAACCTAGATTTGAATCCTGGCTCTTCAACTTACTGACCATGGGACCTTGGGCAAGTACTTCAAGTGTCCTTTTTCTTTCATTGTAGACTATATCCATACTCTCTCTGAATCATGGCTTTAAGTATTAAATAACATATAAATTGTTTACAATGCCTGGCACACAGTAGGCATTCATATGTTCCCCGCCTCTTCCAACAGTGTTCAAGTTTAAGACATATATCTCTCACAGATAATCCATGGTGGACTACAATGAGCTGATTCCAATGTCACAGAGAGACAGGCTTAGGGATTGAGAGTGAATTCCTACCATGATGAAAAGCCTACTTCCCATCTAGACTGATACTGTGTTCCCAGGTCTAGTAGATCATGTGCAGTGTCATATACTAAAATTTTAAGAGCCACCACATCTGTAAAGTGATAGCTAGAAAGGTGGATTGAAGGAGGGACTTTCACATTTACTTTACATAACTATGTACTGTAAAAAAAATTTTATAGTAAACATGTATTGCATAAATTAAAAAAATTAAATTTAAAAACAAATCATTGCTTCACTCACGAACTGACTAGGGAGAGTGGGGATCCCAAGGATGAAGTTTTTGAAGAAGAAATTGCTTCCTTTCTCTAACCCTCTGGGAATGAGAGAGAACTGGTGGGGTAAAATGACAGGAGAGGGAACCTTCTGTTGGGTGCCTTGCAGCCAGTCCCCATTGTCACCACTTCTTATTAATATTTTTCATTCTCTTCTGACAAGAAAATCTCCAAGGACTTTCCGGAGGTTACTTGTGTCCTGGGGTTCCTTTTAAAAAGAAGTTATCACTCATTTTGTTAGTCTGCAAAACTGCCAAGTGAGCCTGCAGTAAGTGAGATCTCTATTATCTGTCACAGGTAGCAGTGTTGGTTGTCTTTACCTGCAAGCCAACTCTCAGTGTAGTGACATAATCTGTGAGTACGAAGAGGAGCCACACAGGAAGTGTGGTAAAGTCTCGGCCTATGACAAAAGAAGGGTAGAAAAAGAACCATTATGATAGAGATAGTGCCAGGGCAAGTGAGAGCAGACAGATGCTGGGTCACCATACCTCACTGGGAAAAAGAACACAGACAAAAAAGGCCTTAAGAAGTAGATGGACAAAATGTCAGCACTTGTTTCCCTTGCACAAACTTGCTAGGAAAAGCACAAGATGCATCCAGCTGCTTCACTCATTTTCTGGAAATTTTCTTTAAAATGCCCAGAAACGTGGAAAACCAGGTACTAGAAATAATTCTAGAAAGATTGCAGTGTCGTATCCACATAAAAAGACACCTGCATACACATACATCATTAATTTTTGGAGTACTAGAGAGGTCAAAGCAGCAATAACATTTTTTTAAATTAAATAAAGGCATTTTGATGTTTTAAATACTTGGTATTTTCTGAGTTTTATATAAAATTATCAATATTGACTTTTGTCAAATATATATAAAAAGTCTATTGGGATTGACATATACACACTACTATATACAAAATAACTAATAAGGACTTACTGTATAGCACAGGGAACTCTGCCATACTCTGTAATGGCCTGTATAGGAAAAGAATCTAAAAAGAGTGGATATATGTGTATGTATAACTGAATCACTTTGCTGTACACCTCAAACTAACATTGTAAATCAACCGTACGCCAATAAAAATTTTTTAAAAGTCTAGATACATGTATTGAAATACATATTCCAATAATTAGATGACACTTTAAGAAGACACGTTAATGATACTCTCACCCCATTTTCTCAATCACACAGAGCCAGAAAGGTCAGTTCCATCAGATACCATTAGAGCTAGGACTATAATCCAAACCTTATGGGTCCTAATTCCATGTTGATACCACACACCTAAAGATTAAAAACAAACCTTTATAAATTTGTGTCACTGAAAACTTTTTTTTCGTGGAGTGTAAATAGACTTTTCTCTTTAAGCTGGTGTTTCAAAAGGACTTTATAAGAGGCTTCTTGCTGAGCACCCCACAGCCTGCAGGTATACACTCTTATATGCCTTGTATAGTCTATCCATTAGCTGAGTGCCAAAGTAAAGACCTTCCCATCTCCCAAATTCCAGACTGCTCACTTGGTTCTAGACTCCCAGGTCTCCTGGGTCTGGCCTACTTGAACTGTATGTATTTTCTAACCTGCGTTCACGGCTTTGTGTGAGCATTCCCAGTATTTGTGCCTTGTTAACTGATCTGCTGTTGCCCACTGTCCCTGTACAAAGATCTAAAACCACTCCTCTTTCTGAGGGGGATGGATGGGAAGACTTTTGATGCGCTCAATCATGTTCCTTTACTCAGTGTTTTCCCAGTTGCCAAATGCCTTCCATGTGACTGTGAATGAGAAAGTGATAAATTGGTACAAGGCTCAAGATATCTCTCCCCTCTTATCAGCTGTAAAGCTAGAATAGAAACTGTCGGATCGGTACCAGAAATTCACTCAATCATATAAATGTCTCATCTAAAAATAAAAGCCAAATACACATTTCTTTGTTTCTTGCATATATTTACAATATAAATACTAATTTGTTTTCAAAGTACATATTCTTTTAACAATTTGCAAAAGTTTTCTAGAATGGGACAGCAATTTAACGTAAAGCCTTTGTAGTAGTGATTAAGGAAAAAATAGAACTGTTTTGGGGATAAGGGATTCTAGAAGGAATATGAATGGGCATGATGATCTGAACTTGCTAAGGGAATGTGAAGCAGCTTACTCCGCGTTGCACTGCCGATACAGCATGTTAAAGGACTATTGTGTGAGACAGCAACCGGGATGGGGTGTTGTAAAAACTAAACCTGGGAGATATAAAAAGTACACATGCTTGCATAGTGCGTTAATCTTGAAAGAAGCTCAACATTTCATTCTCATTTTCAATAACTTAAATGAATAGTACTTAAAACACATCACACAAAATTAAAAGACTTGTGCATATATTTCAGATTTCAACATTAATGTCAAAAATACATAGTATGATTTTACATAGGATTTGTGCTACATTAGAACACTAAAGACAAACATCACTTGAGTAGTAAGGAAAACATTAAATATTAAATAACTGAGAAACGAAACGTGTAAACGCTAATCTAACTGTGGCGGGGGTGGGGGGATGGGGGGTGGTTTGCTCTTGCAACAAGTCCAGTGAAGTGGTTTCGACAGTACAAAAAGGGTTAGGACATGAGTGTTTCCAGTCTCCTTGGAATATGTGGATCTCATCCCAGGAATCCTTTCATAAAAACTGGTCCAGGATAACAGGAGAGGACCCACTCTCCTGCTTGTTAATTTGGTACACTCCCTTCTACGCTATTTTTTACTTTCAAACTTGGGTACTGAGGGTACCCAAATACTTTGAATTGTCACTCTTTATCAACATCTTGGTGAAAACTGAGGGTTTGTTGGCGATTCAGTGTAAGATTTGAGTTCATATGCAGCACCGCTATCAACTTCCATCGACTTTCTAGAGAACAGGAGCCGTACATCTCTATGGAGGTAGATCTTTCCAGATTTAGAACTCTGGAACCTAAACAAAGAAACAACAAAATGATGCTTCATTTCAGGGAATTAGTGTTTAAAACAAACAAACCTGAGTAATTAAATTTTGAAAGCAGGAAGGATTAGTCTTGCTACAACATTAACAGTGCCTCTTTAACAAGATATTTAAAGTCTTATATTGCCAAAGCACTTGCTGCTATTTCAGTGCCTCTCCCTCACTATCCCTAAACATTCCATACTCCCTTTCCCCTCTTACAATGACAGAGGTGCTTCTTTTTGTAAATCTGGGTTTCACATGCAATCTGACTCTACATCCCTGACACCACAGCACATGCACCTTTCCTTACCTGTAGTATGCACTTTCAGTTCACGTCAGCCAATTACACTACATTTGGGCATCTTCTAGCTACAAAGAATGACCCATTTCACACAACTTGCCCTCCTACAATTTTGAGTACATTAAAATGGATTCCACACTTGGAAAGTCACCACAGAAAACTATCAAGTTTTGAGACAATCACAGGATGAGAAACGACTGCTACCACCAGTAGTGGCTAGCTAAATAAAACCTAATCATCATTAGAAACCAAGAGGAAAGTTAGCAGTGAAATGAAAATGGTTACCAAAGCTGTATATGGAACTGTTTCTATCCTCTGCTAACAGCTTACAGCATAATACAGGGGGTTGGAGGCTTTAATCACATAAACTTAACTGGCAGATAGTCAAACATACCCTTTAGTGTTAATTTCTCTAGTTTTCCCTTTGCATAGCAGAAATATCTGGGTTTGTGGATTTTATTCCCAAATTAGCTGAAAAATCTGGTGGTCAGTTGTATATATTAAAGCAGACCTCAGACTGGCTCACTCTTTGATTCTTTCTGCAGTTTTTCACCTTCTCAATCTGAAGAAGAACATGGTGAGCTTTGGGAATTATGCCATGCCTTCTAAAGCAGTTTCTTCACAGCATTTAAGGTATCTAATCATTATGTGGAGATGACAAAAGCTGGGATAGTTGACTTTTTGGCGAATGTTGGTTATATATGGCTAAGGCTGTTGTAACAGATTGAAGTTACCTCCTCCTGATGAATAGGGCTCCTTGGAGTAAGCAGTTAAGCTAAGATGAATTACTGTCACTGATGTGATTGAGGACTTCTTATGAACAACATCAGAAAATTATTATTAGGAATAGAGTTACAGGCAAAGGGCTACTGAGTTCTCTTCTAAGCAATACACTTGCTCATTGATCTTAAGAACTACACTAGGATTTCAGGGCTAAAAACCTTACCCTATGATGCTGGAAGCATGGACCTCAAGAGCAAACAAATGGTTTCTCACAACCTAGAGCTATTAGCTGGGTAGTAAAAGTCTGAGGAAAATATATTTCTAATGGAATCACCAGAATATAAGCTGTATAAGAACAGAGATTTTGTCCCTGCTGTTTCCAAGAGTCTAGAAGCATGCCGGACACATCAATGTTTGTTGAATAAATGAATGAATAAATGAAAGTTAAGAATTTCCCTGTCCAACTCAGCAGCCACAAGCCACATGTGGCTACTGAGCACCTGAAATGTGGCTAGTTCAAACTGAGTACAGCAAAGGAATGTAAATATCTCATTAATAATTTTTATATAGATTACATATTCCAATTATAACACTTGAATATGTTAGGTTCAATAAAATATATTAAACCTCTGCTTCTTATTACTTTTTTTAATGTGGCTACTAGAAAATATAGAACTATATATATGGCTCATATTACAATTCTATTGGACAGCATGGGTTTAGACAACTGTGTTTCATTTCCCCCAGATATATTAGCATTGTATTGCTATAACATAGTTTCCATTACACAGCTATAAATGAAAACTCCCCTAATTCAACAAGTAGTAATGACTGAAGGAAGATATGCCATGTGTTTTCTGCATCCTGGTCTATCATAAACAGTGTCGAAGTTAAGCAAATTCCAAGGGGTACTCGTCTAGTTAGAATGACAGTTTTTAAAAATAAACTAAAAATTTTAGAGTTTTCTTCTAAAGTAACGTATTTTCATATTCATTTGAAACATTACCTCAGATGTATGAGGTAGCGTAATAACCGTTCTTCTGTATGTCGGATGTTCTCTTTATTAACACTTCTCTTCATTTCTTGTTTAACAGGTACAGAAAAAGTTCTTTGTCGTAGGAATGTCTGATGATTGGCTGGCATATCTCGTAAGTCATATATCACAACAAACATCTTCACCACAGTCTTATTAGGATTAAATAAGGTCTGAAGAAACAATATAGAAATTATTCTTTAAAAACAGTGATTTGTTCATTTGATTCAAAATGATTGTGCCAATAACAAAATAGGCTTTTCAATAATAAATTAATCCCAGTGGATATAATTCAGTTTGGGGGAATAAAGTTAATAAAATTTCAGAAGTTTATGAAATGATATTCAATATTTTTTAATGGTTCAATTAGATTTTTTATTTACAGAAATAAAAGAAATAAAAACTCCTGTAACAAATCAAAATCTTTAGTCACAAATGTCATATTAATAATAGATAATACATAACATTTACTCTTGTTCATATTTTAAGAACTGGTTCCATTAGATTAAGCAAAATACACCTTCACTGAATTAAAGCATTCCAGTTCAACTACTTCAAACACTAGCTTTATTAAAATAAGTCAACTGAAAAATGCTCAAAATAGAATTTTAGTTTTCCTCACATTTTAATAGTGAATAAATAGAATTTTTTTAAATAAAAAAATAAAATCTTGGTAAAACTAGACTTTGATATGATGTTTCAGGTACATATGGTTATTATAAAATTTAAAATATATTCTCAAAAAAGAGAATTTTTCTTGTTTGGAAATTTTTCCAGGTTTAGAAAATAAAGTTCATTATTATTAGTTACAAAGTAGGCTAAGTAATACTTCATGTTCTCACAGTTGGATTCATTTCAAACACTGCAGTGACACTAGACTTTTTTTTTAATCATCATCAATATCATAATAGACTGAAATTAAATTCAGTTGCTACTTGGCCATTAATAACTGAAGGAATATTATTTTTTAAAGTACTAATTTTTAAACAAAATTCCAAGCTGCTGATTTGACTTTAACCAAATTACCAACACATCAATAGGTAACTTGGTGCCCATGCTTTCAGAAGCTCATCCGTGGCACTGGACATCACTCACTGAATCAAAATGAGAAATATATCAATATTATGATCCAATTTTTGAAATCTAGTGAGTCTTAAGATTAAGGCTAATAATACATTTAACAACCACAACAACTAGCAAGCCAGGAGTTCAAGTCATGTTTATACATAATTAAATTTATACAAGGAATGAAAGACATATCCAAATTTCAGATTTAAAATAGCCAGTAGAGTTGGTAGTCTTCAAACAAGGGGTAAATGTGCTGCGTCTGGGTTTCTGCCTCATTATTATGACACCTGATAGCTAGCTTTCCAGTGACCCACACTTTCACAAGCACTACAGAGCCAGAGGCAAGAGATCAGAAGATGATCACTCTTTTAGTTCAAGAAATACATTCAACATAAAAATCTTACTTTAAAATGCAGTGATTTTTCCTTGGTAAAATTTATACATGTGTACATACTGCAATACATATATGCATATATATTGCCTAGTACTATGTTTCATTCCTGTGTGATACGAAATAAACAAATGTACAGACTCTTCGCTATACTGGAACAACGAAGATGAGTAAAAGTGGTCCTTCGAAGCACTGATCACACTGAAGCCAAAGGTCATCAAAAGGCTTGCTGGATTAGACCAGATCCTTAGTGTGAGGAACTCAACTAGACTCTTTTTTTTTTTTTTTTTAATTTCAGCTTTATTGAGGTACAGTTGACAAATCTCAGCTAGACTCCTTCCAAGAGTTGCAAGAGCCAACACTGTAATAGACTTGCGCGCTTACAGGATTATCCTGGGTCTGACTTGGAGATGAACTCAATCACAAACTGGCCTTGATATAAAATTACTCTTCTGAGAACCCTAGATCAAGGATGATGAAGGATTACTGCTCTGGGCTAGAAGAGTTCTCCTAAGCCAAAACTAGATCTACACCTAGACCAAAAGGAAAGAGGCATTCTTTGCCCTGACATCTGTCGGACTGCATTTCTGCTTTGTGTAACCGTCTCATTAAATCAATTTTAGAAATTATTACAGTAGGGATAATATAATTTTGCTTCCCATGTTTCCCTGACAAAGCAATACTAATATTTGGGGTCTCCTTTTACATAGGTCAATCTCAGTCCGGCTTATTATATTAAGTAGAAGGTACTGGTAATCTAAATTCTAATTATACTGAAAATAGCTCTATTTAAATTATGTTAACTGTCATACACTATTTTTCTAAAGCATTCACCTTGATTAGCTTATTAATGCTTTCCTTTTATGGAGGTCCCCAAATGGTCATTCCTGAGGCAGAGCAGGGAAACTCCAAACAAAGCTGCAGCCCCACTGTTACTTACCAAAGTTGTTGCAGCAGCAGTAGCAGGAGAAAGGGCTAAGTTCTATATGTATGTGAGAGAATGATTATTGCAATTGTAGGCTATAAAACACATACCACTTGTATTGTTCCTGAAGGAGGTACTCGATAACCCCTTTTACCAAGGGACTCTAAAGTAATCACACCCTTGAAATAAAAGAAGACAAACTGAGTACAAACTGATGCATATATATACATAAAAGACTAAAATAAGAATAATAAATCATGTAATTACTAACATTTCAGAATTGTATTTGTATGGAAAAACATTCACATTGAATTAATAGAGATACATTCTATGAATATGAAATAGTGAGGATCCCACCTCACTAGGAAACAATTTACTGTTCTTCCAAGAGATGCTTCAATAAACAATACATAACATCAATGACCATACTGCTTGAAATTAATATTAAGATATAAGATATAGAAGTGAGAAGTTCTTTAACTAAAAAGGAAATAAAGGGAGATGACAGGATTATTCTCTTGTACCATGTGGGAGCAGGGAAATGAAGCAAAACAATTTATTGGTCTTTGGACATACAGAAACTCAGGAATGAGGACTGATCCTAAGTCTTTCCCAAAAATGAAGTCAATTCTTCAGTCAGAAAGTTGAGTTGTTATATACACATATGGACTTCTGACTAGAGACAGACCAGCATCATCAGCATCACCTGTGAACTTGTTAGAAATGCATAATTTCTGGCTTCTCCCCAGATCTACCAAATCAAATCTGCATTTTAACAAGATTCCCCAGATGATATCATATGTACATTAAAGTTTGAGAGGCACTGCCATATTATATAAAATAGTTTTCTGAGAAAGATGCTGTAATCACTGCAGAAGTTGAAACAATGACGAACAGTATAAATTAAAACACGGGAAGCTAAGACTGAATGTGTGAAAGTTTCTAGATAACCAGGATGACCAAATTACTACAGGTGGTGACTGTGATACTTAATTCTTAGGTGGCTTTAAGAAACAAATGCTGATTCATTTAACTGGGTGAATAGTTTTCTTTTGAGTAGTTAAGTAGAATAATTGCATGCTCTACAACTCATATCCCATCATTTTACACTGTACCTGCAAAATGTGTCAACCTTATGTAAAAGTAAATATAAAACAGGACTGTCCCATCAGGCAACATTTGTTGGGTTTGAAAGACAGACCAGGGGAGGCGGTGGGGGGTAGAAAGCAGTGGACAAAGGTAAAAGGGAAGGCCAGACTCTAATATGTGAATACCTAATCTCCAAGTGAACAGCAATTGACAATCAGAATATTAAATTAATACGTTAATAATGGGAAATGTTCATGGAAATGGGCACTGAAAAGACATATGTGGTTCTTAACAAATATGATTACATGGTCATTTAAAGCATGAAAACAGCATATCAACAAACTGCATCCCTAACCAACACAGTAATGAAGTTTTAATAATTTTTCTCTTACAATCTTCTCTACATGAAAAAATGCTATGGTATATAATGCTCCTCTTCTTCCTAGTTCCAGAAAGAAAAAGCAGAATATATCTAAATAATAGCTACCTTTCTAATCACATTGCTCCAGGCAATATATTACTGTTTTTCCTTGCCATCCTCCGCTAAATATATATAAGAAAACTGGTGAGGGAAAATCTACTACCAAGCCTACACTTACTTCCTTTAACACAATACAACTCTAATAGATTTTAGAACATAATAACAGTAACTAAATCAATTTATAAAGAAAGAATATGGATAAAACCCCTCAAAGTTTAAGGCAACACTTTACAACAATAATTTCTAAGCAATATAAGACTAGTATTGGCAATGGCAAGTTAGGAATTTTGAAGGGATTGGGAAAGTATTTGGAATTTTATTTGTATTATTATTAAATTTATTATTTTTTTTTAAATTTCATTATTTTAATTGGTTGGCATATTAATATTTCCACCTAGAAAGTTACTGTATTTAACATAAAGAAGAAAAATACATTTTCTTCTGGCATTTTAGGATGGAATAGGTAGATTAAGATGAACTAAATTTGGTCAAAATCTTACACAAAAAATTCTCAAGTGACTGGGGAATAGAGAATATGCAAAGCTAAGTAAAACTGAAGGAGGTACATCTTAATTTCGTTAATTATAAATAGAAGAAAATATATAAAATATATAGTGCTGTTAATATGATCATAAAGCAAGTCATACCATGAATTTGCCACGGGCAAAACTGCTTTAGACCTTTCTGCCTGGTTCCACCGTGCAATAGTTTCTAAACAGTGAAATGTTGCCATATTACGTAACACTTGGAGAACATTTTTACTACTGACATAGGATTGGAGAGAGACATTTGTATGGCTTTGAGCTAGTCTAAAAGGAATTATTTAATGAAAAGCCCTGTACTATCTCTACCCCACAAAGACAGAATTCTCTGTGCTAAAATTTCACCCTTGCAAGTCATTTGTATAATTTGTCATGAGAGGTCCCAAGGTTATTATTAGAGTAACAAATAGGGGTTTGGTGTCTCAGCTCCACTGGTCTGTGATATGTACTATCTTATCAAAACATGATCAGACCTTTGAAAACAGACTAAACTACCAAAATACAAATAACACTCCCTACCGAATAAGATTAATTTGATTAATTTACAGTAGGAAAGATCCGTGGTCTAAGATTTGGACTGGGTCATTTGTAAAGGGAACCCATTCCTAATGAGTAAAAACAATTACATATTGGAAAATTTATTAAAGAATATTATCAGAGAAAAGTAAGAAAAAGATTCTTAAAGGATAGACTAACTTAACCTAATTTAGACTCTTTTCAATATTTATTCAAAATCTGTGATCATTTGTGTGTGCTTTCTGGAGACAGAGTGATAAAATCCTTTATCTCTCTCTTTTTAAAATTTAATTTAATTAATTTATTTTTTATACAGCAGGTTCTTATTAGTTATCTATTTTGTATATATTAGTGTATATATGTCAATCCCAATCTCCTAGTTCATCCCACCCCCGACCCCCACTTTCCCCCTAAATCCTTTATCTCTTAATCCTTATTTTTTTAGATGTCAACCAAGGTCAAGAATTAATGTTATTTTGCTTTTTTAAAGCATAGTTCAAATTACCTCTTGCTCATGAATTTCACTCAAAGATAGTTTTTTGAGCTGACTTTCAGCCAATTCACTCTTTTACTTGTTTCTAACTCATCCTAATGGTCATCAGGGACTCTGTACACTAATGACCTCAGATCTTATCTTTCCATTCTTTATTACCATGTGCCAATAGAATACCTGAAACTAATGAGACTTCTTGATGTCCCAGTAAAGCAGAATGGCCATCTTTATAGCTATATTCTTTTTTTTTTTTTTGCGGTACACGGGCCTCTCACTGTTGTGGCCTCTCCCGTTGCGGAGCGCAGGCTCTGGACGCGCAGGCTCAGCGGCCATGGCTCACGGGCCCAGCCGCTCCGTGGCATGTGGGATCTTCCCGGACCGGGGTGCGAACCCATGTCCCCTGCATCGGCAGGCGGACTCTCAACCACTGCGCCACCAGGGAAGCCCTATAGCTATATTCTAATATTGTAAGCATTCCAGTAAGATACACATTTTTTCTGGTATTGAGCTTATCTCAATGATATTTTCCATTTTATTAATTATCTAAAATTAACAGTTATTTTTTCAAAATTATACTGGAAAGTGGATACATCTTACTATGGTAAATGAGTAACAAGTGGTATATGTGATAACTGGGTAGGCTTGTGAAGAACTGGGCCTCTGTTTTTTATAACAACCACTGTTATGCATCTTTACAATTATGACCCACAAGTGTTATTATTATTGAAAAAAGAAAACTTTGAATAAATGACACCACTGTGCTTTTTAGATCAAAGTATGAAACACCAATCAGACTCTTGATTAAAATTTCACCCTTAGAATGGAATAAGGCTTAACAACCTTCCGTGAACAAACTACATCAATAATGAGTAGACTGCATTTAGGTCCCTAAAAAACTGTAACTTCCCTTCCTCTGTTGTTTCTCAATTATGCAGAATTTGCTTTTCATAGTTTTTATTAATAACAAAAGACATTGCTGCTAATGTCCTTGAGGAACCTAGAAGGTGGGGGAGAGGGATATTAGAAAGGAAGCAATTGGGTCAGGAGGTAAGTTAGGAAATTCAAGTAGCAAGACCAGAGCTGTATATTTCTATGCCTACTGCAATTTGTATTTCTCAAAGTAAGACCTAACATAAAAACCCAGATCTGACTCCATATTTTATACCATCAATGTAAACTTCTTACAGACTTGCACTGCTAGCCACTAACTTGTCTTTTGGAAAAGGGCTGATAGTAATCACACACCAGGACTTGGTATCATTTTTGCAGTTGAGGGCTTATTTCATCCTCAAATCCACTGGAATAAAAGATGGGAAAGATAAAATTATAGGATCCTAAGGCTCAAGACAGTGCTCTTATTCCTCTTAGCTATTTTACTCTCCACTAAAACATTGGCATGGAGTCAGAAATAGCTAGTATTCTAAAGAACCCTAGGATTGGAAAACGAATGGTCCAAAGATAAACCAAACAGGAGAAAGGGGGTGAAAGGGCATCACAAAAGCCGTACGTCACCAAATCTTTACCTAAACTCTACTGAGATGAGGATCATAGTGAAGGCAACACTGTTAGGACTAGAGTGCCCAGTAAGCACTTGAGAATCTGCGTGAACTCAGCAAGATATGGAATCACAGTGTCACTAATCAAAATTTTATCATTTTTTCATATTACATAGAAACAAGTAAATTTTCAGCACAATCCTCAAATGTAATAGAGGATATCTGTTATTAGAGCTTGCTCAGAAAGAAGTTGTGAGGTGTTATTCTGGCATATTCATCTCTATGCAGCCTTCAATCCCCTCTTAGGAAATGCTTTATATTTTCAAGCATGGCACCAAAGTAGTACTAAATCTCTTTAAACTTAAAGGTATTTGTCATTAAGATGGTTGATTTTAGCAGAAGAAGACAATTAAAAATACTTGCCATATAAGGAGAGGGAGCATTATCATCAGAAACACTGTAGAATGACACTTCAACTGGAAGAGTCAAATGAGTGGGGCAGAAAACACCACTTGCCCCTACCTCGGCAGTAAAGCCATCAACAATGCCGAGAGGATCTAAACGATAGTTCAAGACAGACTCCTGGAAGGCAAAATAAAAGAATTTTTAAGAAATAAAATTTAAAAGTTAACACATTCATTCCTTCTTTCTATTTAAAGAAATATGTTAGTATGCTTTCTGGCACTAGAAAAGTGGTCACTGCCATTGCCATGCCCTCATTTCAAATGTTCATCTGACCTGAAATCAACCCCCTCCCAAATCAATCTTCTACCACCTTACAAAGTTTGGCCTCCTTACTATTCCAACCCCACACTGAACTATCTTTGAACTTCACCATTATTTTTTTTTTCACCATTATTTTGATATAATCGTTTAATGAGTTATTCTTATCTCTGTAAAGAAAGTATGCTCTACCAGAGCAGGTATAATATCAGAAATTTTCTTATTCCTCAGAGTATATTTCTACTGTTAGCCACAGAGAAGCACTTGAAAACTTGTTAACAGGTCATATACAGAAGTTCCATCAAAACAGAAAGCCAAGTACTCATAACTTTAACTGAAAAACAACTGCCTCTTAAAAATTGTTGTTGGATGTGACATATGTTTTATTGTTTAGTTTAATTTAAAAAACAGTAAATACACATTGGGAAAAATTTAAAAGTACATAAATACAAACAACAGAGAAGCTCCTTATCCATCTCTCCCAAGCTCATTTGCTGAGGAAACCACTTTTAACAATTTAGTGTTTATCTTTCCAGGTATGAGAAACATGTTAAACCTTTCACAAGCTCTCCTTCCTATACATATATCAACATATATATGCATACATCAAGAAATGTGAGTAACATTTCTTTGATTCAGTAATTCTTTGAAAAGAAACACTCCAAGCCCTCATGAGTCTAAATTTGAAAGTGGTATCAGCAATTCTCAAGTCCCGTGTCAAAAAGACCAGACCAAGAGACCTATGTTACAACGAGCCTTCTATATCTCCCTCCTGCCCTGCAATCAATCCAATCCATACCCTGCTGATGGGACCTCTCAGTCTCACAGCCTCAGCTCTCTCAACACCAGTAACCTAGCTCAGACCCTCATAACCTCTCCTCTGAACAAATGCAATACCCTCTAATTAGTTATTCCATCTTTAGTGTATCATCTGTATTACTGCCAGAGTTTTTCTTTAAAAAAAAAAAAAAAGTCTTACGTTACCCACCAGGTTAAAAACTTTGTGTTTCTTGATGTCCACAGGATGAAGTCAAATATTCACAGCATGGTACGTAAGGCCCACCCTACATCTCTTACCACAGCTCTCCTCACTTGCACGCAGTCTTATACTCCAGTTCTGGATGATGCTTTTGAATATCACCATGCTCTTTTACTACTTTTACACATATGCCTTTGCACATGTAGCTCCCTTTGTCTAGAATCCCTTGACACTTCTCACACAATTTACTTGGCAAATTCCTACTCAACTTTTGTAACTAAGCTCAAATGACAGCTCCTTAGTAAAACTTTCCCAGTCCCTTAGCAGAGAGAACAAATATATGGAGACTGAGAAAATTTCTATTACAGTGCTAATTACTTCGGTTTATAGATTATTTATATGTCCAACTTCTCCAGCAGACTGTAAACTTCTCTAAGGCAGGCAGTTTATTATTTAGCTTTATATTCCTAGCATATAACATGACACATAGTAGGTACTCAATAAATGTTTCTTAAATAAGAAACATGTTCTAAGGATGTATGAAAATTTCAGAAAAAGAGCACAAAAATGCTAATGGATAAGGCCAATGATCCAATGTAGTCTACGACTTTATTCAGATTTTTGTGACTTTAAACGAATATATTGTACTAGCATGCATGTTAGGCCCTACTGAGTGCAAAACTACAAGAAAAGGAAATAAAAGGCATACAAATTACAAAGTAAGAAATAAAACTGTCCCTATTTGTAGATGATGTGGGAATCTACATACAAAAATCCGCCCCCTCCAAATCAATAAAATTAATAAGCAAGTTGAGCAAGGTCATAGGTGATTATATATGTTTATACACACATACATACATACATATATATATATATATATATACACACACACACACACATACATATAAAAACACTTATATATATATATATATATATTTTTAGCCCCAACTCTCAGCATGCAAGATCTTAGTTCCCCAACCAGGGATCCAACCCATGCCCCCTACAGTGGAAGCATGGAGTCCTAACCACTGGGCTGCCACGGAATTCCCTAAAATCACTGTTGGGAATGTAAATTGGTACAACCGCTATGGAGAACAGTATGGAGGTTCCTTAAAAAACAAAAATTAGAAGTACCATATGCCCCAGCAATCCTACTCGTAGGCATACACCCAGAGAAAACCATAATTCAAAAAGATAAGTGCACCCCAATGTTCATTGCAGCACCATCTACAATAGCCAGGACATGGAAGCAACCTAAATGTCCACTGACAGGGGAATGGATAAAAAAGATGTGGTACATATGTACAATGGACTATTACTCAGCCATTAAAAAGAATGAAATAATGCCATTTGCAGTGACATGGATGGACCTAGAGATTGTCACACTGAGTGAAGTAAGTCAGACAGAGAAAGATAAATATCATGTGATATCGCTTATGTGTGGATTCTAAAAAAAGGGTACAAATGAACTTATCTACAAAACAGAAGTAGAGTTACAGATGTAGAAAACAAACTTATGGTTACTGGGGGGTAAAGGGGGGGAGGGATAAATTGGGAGACTGGGATTGACATATACACACTACTATATATAAAAGAGATAAAACAGATAACTAATTAGGACCTACTGTGTAACAGAGGGAATTCTACTCAATACTCTGTAATGGCCTATATGGGAAAAGTATCTTAAAAAGAGTGCATATATGTATATATATAACTGATTCATTTTGCTGTACACCTGCAACTAACACAACATTGTAAATCAACTATACTCCAATAAAATTTTTTTTTAAATGTCATTTACAGGTTCATGTTTAAGATTGTTTTCTAATTGAAGAAAACTAAACCCTTGATATACTTGATCCCAAGTAGAAGAGTCATTAAATAAAGCAGCACATGTATCAGAGACCTTTAACCATTTGATTTTTTAAAAATAATCTTATTTTATAATAAATTTAGATTTACAGAGGAGTTGCAAATATAGTACAAAGCACTATTTGATTTTGAAAATCAGCCTCCTTGATCATGAATCAGCTGCTATCAGCCCACCATCATCCTTCCTGGGTCCCAGAGCCAGTTTTACCAGGTAAGAAGGTGCGGTCAAGTCTACTTTCCAGCTCGAGTAACGGATACCTCCATCCAACCTGATTTCACCTAAGTCCTGCATCTCCTCCACCAGCTACCCAATTCTAAAATGTCACTGCCAACAATTCTCCCAACTTTACTTCTCATGAAAAGGAAAGGAAAAAGGGAAATCAAAAAAGGAAAAAGGGATAAGGAAAAAAGAAAAAGGGAAAGGAAAGGAGGTGATTTCAAGGCTTTAGAAAAATATAATCCACTTATTTCCTTTTTAAGAACAAATGACATAAATGACACCATGGGTCTAGGTTAGGAAACTTCAACTCTTAAAATAGTTTCAAAAAACATTACCTCAAAATTTCCTAAGAGACTAAGACTTGTTATAGGTGGAGCACTAGAACTCAGAAATGGTTTTTCATGAATATCTGGATCATCTTCAATGTTTAAACATGGTCGAGGACTATTTAAAAAAAGAACAAATCAGCAAATGGACATATTAACAACAGTATTTTCTAATTCACTTTTGTACAAATTAAATTAGGAGGATCTGATCAATTTTACTTCAACTACCATAATAAAAAATTAATGTAACCAAATTTTAAGATATGAAATATCTCATTTTAAATTCCTGATTAGATTTTATAATCTTTGTTATAATATTTGATAAAGAATATAAATAACATCCTAGGTTTCAAGGTGGAATTTATAACATATCACATAGCAGCATCTACTGGAAATATATAATATTGTAATGCAGTCTTCTATATCAATCTTCATTTTAAGTTAAAAATTAGAATACAAAGGCAAACTTATGTGACTAAGGAATATAATGAGAGTATTATTTGTCAACATGGAACAAATTGCCAAGGATTTTTTGCAAAGGAGTATAAGACAAAGGAGGAGGTGAATGACCAGAAACAGACAAACCCACTTAAATGTTAAAACCAATGTAAGTGTTTTGTTTATCATAATGACCACTGTATATAGTTAGTTACTCATCATCTTAATTTCTCCCTCACTCATCCTTAATAACTGTATGTGTGAAATCATCTTGAAAATGATAAACTGAAAAATGGGATTCCTGTTCAAAGTTTGATTTTCAGAGTCAACATTATTTACTGTGAAAGGCTAGAATTTTGTGCAAGATTATTTCATATACACTAATGAATTTTAAGATAAATACCTTCTAGATGATAAGCTTTTCAGATGCAGTAATGAAGAATCCAGATTAAAGCAACCTGATTGTGCCTTTCTTTGAGGAACCTAAGGTTAAAATAATCACTTGTTAGGTTTCAAAAGAATTTCAGAAGACTATAATTTTTTTCTTGAATTGACAGAACAATTTTCAAATGAAAGCTAAGCATATCTTAAAAAATAATAAAACTTCTCTCCTAACAGCTTATTAAAATCATGCTCTTTATTACATATTGTCCCTATGTCCTCATTTTATTAACTAGTTTGGAAAAAAAGATGATTAATAAAAGCACTTTTACTAGGTTTTTCTTTTTTTCTTTTTTTGGCCAACCGCACTTCGGAATCTTAGTTCCCCAACCACGGATTGAACCCTGGCCACAGCAGTGAAAGCGCTGAGTCTAAATCACTGGACCGCCATGGAATTCCCTCGGTTTTGATTTTTTAAGAACCAGAACCAGTTTTTTCTAAAACCAAATCTTACATGTAATCCCAACATATAATATAATAAGACTTTTACTTTTTTACTTTATATACTTCTGTATTGAGGGGGTAGGAATAAATGATTAATAGCTTTACAATAAAAGGGGGAAAAAAAGAATTAAATGGCGATGGGAGTCTGGGGTCCTGACAACTCTACTGTTCTTTTAACCATCCCTACCCGACTGCACATTTCCCAGAACCCTGGCTGGGGCTTCACAGAGAATAGGTTTGAAAAATACTACTGTGGATTTTTAACCACTATTATATAACAAATTACATTTAAGACAAACCACCAACTAGCTAAAAATGATCTAAAAATGAAAGACCCAAGTGTAAATTAAAGGTAAAATCACATACAACATACAAGTTAGACGGATTTGTCTCTAGAATTAATGTTAAATATGTATAAAGTATCTGAGTGATTGGTCTAATTTGTGACTAAGAAACAGATGATACTGAAAGTCTAAAAAACCTCAATATTTTTGAGAGTTGTACAAGCACACCATTCTATATTTTGGAGTTAGAACTTAATGTGAAATCTTCAATCCAAATTCTTATGTCTTCAATTCAGGAAAGTTTTCTACTTTCATTTCTTCCAATACTGCATTTTCCTCATTCCATCTAGCCTTCCTTTTGGAATTTCTACTAGGCTTATACTGAACATCTCATTTTATCCTCCAGGGCTCTTTCATATTTTACCATTTCTCTTCCCTTCTGCACTTTATTCTAGGTGCTTTCTTAATACGTGTCTATCCATTGACTAAATCTCTATTCAGCTGATTCCAGTCCACCATTTAATCCATGTGTATGTGTATGCGCACGTGTGTGTACACTTCAATTATATTTTTCATATTTTTGATTTCTATTTTTCCAATCCCACATGTTCTCTTATCTCAGTTCCCTGTCTTTATCTTCATTTATCTCTTGGAACATACATTCACTCATTCATTCATTTATTTATGTTAAAATCTTTATTGGAGTAATTGCTTTACAATGCTGTGTTAGTTTTTGCTGTATAACAAAGTGAATCAGCTATACATAAACATATAACCCCGTATCTCCTCCCTCTTGTATCTCCCTCCCTCCCACCCTCCCTATCCCACCCCTCTAGATGGACACAAAGCACCAAGATGATCTCCCTGTCTTGAAACATTTTAAAAAGAATTATTTCTGATTCTCTTTCAAGTTGCTCTGATAACAGGATTCCTAAATATGAATTTTCCCACTTCTTCTTGCTGATTCTTTTAAGGTGCTTTGTAATTTTAATTCCCCTGAGATCATCCTCAGTAAGAGTTATCTTCCATGAAAATAAATCCTTGGTGCCATGGGTGATAGATGTGGGATAGTTTCATGTTTTCTCATAGACAGCACAAATTCAGAACCCCCTAACCATGGGTGACTTAGGCTTAGGTCCAAATTCTTTTGGGGGCTTCTTTTCCCATCTACTCTATCCCTCCTATTGCACCCCTTAAGTAAATAGGTGATTTCTTTTCTCTTCTCCCATTTCTAGAATGGCAGTCCTCACCTGTTTCTGGCTTTATGGAGTTTGGTTTTAGGTCCCAGCTACGACCGGTATAGACCTGACTCCTGATCCAGCAGGAGCATTAAACCCTAGCACTATATTAGATTTAGATATCCTAGAAGGTCATAATTTGCCCCAAGTGAGTTTTGGAGATTTACCTTTCTTGCACTTACACTATATTATGTATTTAAAAGTTGTGTTATATTTTGTCCAGGATTTTTGTGTTTGGGAAGGAGGAAGGATCTTCTTGTATTAACTCAGTCCACCACATTGAACAGAAGTCTGTAGTGCTTTTTACACCAGCATGATGCTGTAAGTTTTTTCCTCATCACTTGGGCATTTTGAAAGCACCTCATACATAGGTCAAACATTTGGGGTTATTTTAAATTGTTTAGAATTCAACTTCCCTAAAATAAACACCTAAGGTCCAAGTTACAAATTTAAAACTAAATCTCTTATTCAAGAATTAATTTTTGAAAATATGCTAGATATTGTATGCTTTGAGTTTACTTAAAAAAACTCACATAAAAACAAAAATTATGTCAATAGCAAAAATAAACATGTTTTTAGTTTACTAGGATATTGACTGCTTACCTCTGGTTTAACCGAAATGGCAGCTTTAGCGACTATCAAATGCTTACCAGGAATGATACTAATCATCTTCCCAACACTAAGGTAGACATTATCACCCATTTTTCAGATGAGGAAACTGAGGCTCAGAGAGACAATATTCCTCACCTAATGTCACACAGCTAGGGTGAAGTCAGCGTGATGCCAAAGCGAGGTTCTTAACCATCACACTCAGATCTATAAATTTATTAGTAAATGTAGAGTGGGGAAACGTCTCAAAATAAGACGATTAACTGTACAGGTCGCAAGTCAAAGACAGCCACAAATTTGATTCCCAGATGATTCAGCTGGTGGTGTCAACCAGCCACAGTACTATGATACAAATCTATTTAGAGAAAATCCACTTTACACTAAGTATTTTCTTTACATTAGTGAGAATTAATATGCTGGACAAAAGAATTTCAGAGAAATTTTATAATCCTAATACAATAAATTCATTTTTATTCATTTTTTCTGCCTTTTTCCATATTAACATTTAGCTATTACATGTATCAAAAAATAAATGTTTTCCCACTAGAAATTTATTTTGAAGGTATTTAAATTTTTTCAATTAAAATTTGGATAAAGTGATTTGCAAACATTTTACATGTTTTGCAAGTCTAAACATAAAATAAGAGAAAAACACTTACAGGACTGGAAAGAAGAGGCAATCCAGTTCGAGGATGAAAGGCTCTGGTTGAGGTTCCATCCAAGGAATGAAAATTATGTTTCCGCCAGACACTTGAGTGTTTAAGTGGTATAGTTCTCTGCTAGGAAAAGATTTAGATTTTAATGGCAATATTTAAAATTTTTTTGTTTCTAGATTTATTCTTAACATCTACTGAGGTATTACATCCTTGGTGGTAAAGCTAACAACCTATATAACTATCTATACACACATATATATACACTTTAATCAAAAAACAGTGTTTAAGAGTTTTTTCTAAGTTGATGAATAAACTCAAATATTCTAAAAAAAGTATGTCCAAACACAATTGCCTTATCAACATATTTATCAAAACTCAGTCTGGGCTTCCCTGGTGGTGCAGTGGTTAAGAATCCGCCTGCCAATGCAGAGGACAAGGGGTTCAATCCCTGGCCCGGGAAGATCCCACATGCTGTGGAGCAACTAAGCCCATGCACAACTACTGAGCCTGTGCTATAGAGCCCACGAGCCACAACTACTGAAGCCCGTGCGCCTAGAGCCCGTGCTCTGCAACAAGAGAAGCCACCGCAATAAGAAGCCCTTGCACCTCAACCAAGAGTAGCTCCCGCTCACCACAGCTAGGGAAAGCTCACGCACAGCAATGAAGACCCAATACAGCCAAAAATAAAAACAAATAAATAAATAAGTTTGTTTTAAAAAAAAACAACTCAGTCTATCATCTAGTAAGCTAATATTCAATTCTTTTAATCTGTGAAAAAAAAAAACTCACAGAAAAAAATTAGTAAAATATTCTAAAATATAAAACTATGTCAGTAGCAAGAGCCATTCTCAGAAAATATAATTTGGTACAGCATGATACAAAAATTTAAATGTGAATTTTAAAATATACTTAACACAGTCACAGTATCATGTTTTTGAAGTGATATAAGAAATAGACTAATTCTTAAGAATTTAAAATGGCAAATTTATACCAGAAACAAAAAATGCATAAAAACACATGAATAAAAATCAGAGAAGAATAATTGGGGCCCTGGCTCTACCATTTACTAGCTTTATGACCTTGGGCAAGTTACTTAACCTCTCTGGGCCTAGAGTTCTCATTTGTAAACTGGAGTTAGTAATAGCGCCTAACCTCAGAGCGTAGTGAAAGGATTTAGTAAGCCAGCATGTATAAAACACTCAGAAGAGTGCCTGGGCATCCAGTAAATGCTATATAATTATATTTAAAGTAAGTGTACGAAAAAACAAATCTTAGTGGCTTGAAAAATACCATGGTCAAAGTAAGTCTCCCTATTAGGTACCAGAAAGGATCGTGAAAAGCTAGTATTCTTAAGGCCAGGGTAGGTTTTTGTGACAATTATAGTTTTAGGAAATTGGAAACTGTCATTTGATTAAACCCATGTGTTAGAAAGAGATCGTCTGTTGAAAAATATTAATTGGAAACATGGCATACTTTTAAGACTCTAATGTCCGGCAAAACTAATTTGTATGATAAAGAAGATGAATCAAGGTCATTCAGATTTGGATTGAGGCAGTTAAGTAGTTTTCCATATAACTGAGATATAAATTTGTGATACTTCTTGGAAAAATAAAGGAAATTTAAGCCTAGTAATAATTTTCTAAAGTTAAAAAGTGATTTGGTAGACAAATAAAATGGAACTAACTTAAATATCTTTGATTTAGGTAGTGCATTAAAAGCTTACAAAATGTTTAAAGATCTATAATTTGATTATCACCACAACTATAAGCAAAAGATATTCATCGTTCTTATTTTAAAATCGAGGAGACTGAGGGTTTTACAAGTTACGTGATTTATTCAGCTTCACTCAAGGACCAAATTGTCAGGACTGACACTTGGGTATTCTGACCAACAGCCCAGTTATTTCACTATAGGTATTCCTAGGCATAACACAATGGGCACACTGCTTGTACTAGGCCAGAGCTGCTGTCAAACAATACCTTAAGCTAATGATACAAGTTTCATTTCTGACTCTTATTTACTCTCCAGCAACTGTTCACAGTATTAAAATAAACAAAAAAAGGCAACAGGAAGAATTTACCTAGCATTTGCTCTGAAGTGGGCGGGTTATTTACAAGGATGTTTATTATATCAGACAGTGAGTTCTATAGATAATGGGCATCTTGGGCCTAACTAGATCTCCTGTAAACAAAGTTCAAACCATAACAAATGTTTGAGGATTACATTTGAAATGTTAGATATTACCTACCAATACCTCTTTATTTTTCAGGCGTTCACACGTAAACAAACAGTCTTTTATATTCTTCCTCTGAGAACAGTTTTGAGATTTTTCATCAACTGGATCTTCTTTCTTATCCTGTTCATTGTTTAATTGGTTTGGCTTTTTGCATTTGAAACCTTCACTATCTTTATTGAGGTAATTTTCTATACTATTAAGTTGAGTATTTTGTTCGCATGACTTAGGCTTTTTTGAGTTTTTATCTGAGCACTCATTTGCATGTTTGTTCAAATATCCAGACATTTCCAACACAGTAACATTTATTTTCGAGTCATTTTTTTTTGAATGATCAAACTGGTGATTGTTAAAAGATTCTGGATTATAATTTTCATTTATTATTATTTTGTCCTTATACTTATTTGTGCACATCTGTTTGTCAATACTGTTACATTTTGAATACTGTTTATTGATTTCATTGTCAATTTCTTGTTCCTTAAATTGACACTCAGAAAGTGTGTTTTCCAATCTGATTGTGAAATCTAAGTTATCTTCTTTGCAAAGAGACATATTTGAAGGAGTCATTAAACCAGTGGCTTTGTTCTGTGTCTCTTGAAATGTACTTTGGATTTCACTAGGATTGTTCTGATGCAGATTTCTTCTTGTTTGAGGTTTCAAAGAAGGCTTGACATTACTATTGCATTTAAAAGAACTAAAACGTTTATTAGGTGTTAAGTGTTTCCCTTCACTGATGTTATCTAACAAGGAAAATTTTGTATCAGAAATGGAAACAGAGGTGTCATCCTTGTTCTTCTTCAACAAATTTCTGTCTTCATAGGAACTCCTAAACACTTTAGAAGGAACTGAACTGGAGTCCTGAATGTTGAATGATTGCCGGGGCATGTGAGGTGCTGTTGGATCAATGTGCTCCAAGTGCTGAGCAATCCTTGCAATGACATCTTGCCGCTCCTGGAGTAAAGAGCTTATCAAAGGATTAATCTCACCAACAGACTGATCAGAATGAAGACCATTAGAAATGCAAGTGTCACTTCGAGGAGTTTCTGGTTTTACTCGAATTTTCCCTTCATTGGTGTCTTCTGAGGAGGTGAGCGCTGGATTACCAAAAGAAATGGAGAACGTTTCTTTACATTTTCTCACATTTTCATTTTCTTGTGAAACCCGGAAAAGCTTTGAATTAAGTGAACTAGATTCTTGTGTATTAAGTGGATGTCCAGAAACATGTGAAGTGCTTGGATCACAATGAATCAAATGCTGAGCTATTCTTGCAATAACTTCTTGTCGCTCCTGAATTAAAGAGCCTATTAAAGGATTAGTCTCACCAACTGACTGCCAGGAACTCTGGCGGCTAGATTCACTAGAATCAATCACTGAAAATGATTTTAAAGTTCTCACTGATGTTTCATGTGACTTTTTATCTCCTATACCACTGAAGCCCAGAATATTGCCTTGAGATGTTCCATAGTCAGATTTACCACTAGTGCCCGGATATAGTTTGACATTTTTGACAGCTGCAGTATATTCTGGAGTTGTGCCATTTTTTGCATGTAATATTATGCTTTCGGGTGCCATGGTCCAAGTTTGTTTGCTACACAGACGCTGTGAACTGTTTGTACTACATTGCTCTGCTTCAGTAGAATTTCGGTGCTGATGGGTTTTAAGTTCATGGTCTTGAACTCTTTTCTCAAAAAGGCCAATATTAGTGTGAATACTACAGGTCAAAACTGGATAATTAGATTGTCTGGGCAAGGACTGAACACTGACTTTCAAGGCCACATTGTGAGACACATTGGGAACAGGAAACACATGTTCAATTGGAGTTTGTGAAAAATTCCACTGTAGGTCTACATCAGCAGCACTGATTCTAGAATCACACAGAAAAAAATGGAATCAGTGGATTATAAAACATATCATTATTATATGTTATTTAAAAAATGTTAAACAGTCATATACTTATCTTTGTTTGCATTAATTACTATTGAGATTTTATTTTAACCTACTTTACCATGCATGTCATTCTAACAAAACCAACATAAATAGATTATACCTGGAATAGAGACCATCTTCTTTTTAAGAACACCATTCTATTAAAGCATTAAAGCTCAAAAATACTATAATTTAAAATTTGTTGTCAAAACAGAAAAAAGGACTTTCCATTTACTACTAAATAAATGGATTCAGCTAATTCTGTTGCGCATGGTGATTAAGAGATACTCTCTATCTCACGGCCACCTGCCTAAAGAGACAGTTAAGACAGTTGTTCAGCAGCCTGTGTGTTTATAATTTTCAGGATCTAAAAATTAAGTCTACCATTATGGAAATTCAGCAACCCAGAAAGTTTTTCCACTTTATTTATAATGGTGGTACATTCTCATTGTTAGTTCTGTAAAGTAAGCTAAAAAGTTCTCTGAAAACTATTCTACACCAGATTTAACCCAAGAAGCAAAATGCATATTGAGTCATATCTAAATTTCTCCAACTTGTTTTGAAAAACAAGTAAAGTTTTTAATTTTTAATTTCAGTAAATTTTGTCCACTTATATTTAGAAATGAAGGATATAAACTGCCTAAAAGGTAAAATGTCATTCAGTAGCTAACCACTGTAGCTGAATACACATTGTCCTTTTTCTGCCCTAGACATACCTGTAAATAATATTTCGTGGAATAGCACCATGAGAAACACTCAGCCAAGCACTTAATTGAGAAAAAAACACAAATGAGCGGACAGCCAATAGGAGAGTCTTCTCTTCAATAAATCGATCGCCACTCCTAAGGGAAGTAAAAAAGCATCATCTAAATGTCAACAAGTACAAAATGGCTAAATTTTAGAAAGATAAAAGCTGAAATAAACATATCACTCAGGACATGTGCTTTCAAGAGTATAAGAGTGCATTTACCAGTGTCATTTGAAGTCACATAAGTACTAAATATGTAAATTTTACTACATAAATAGAGGGACTCAAAGATATGATATATTATTAAAATAATTTATAGAAAGTAATGGAAAACCTGATTTACAAAGGACAACTTCAAACTCAGTTCAACTTACTGTCGAGGAACTGGCTCCAATATCCATCTTTCTAATAATAACGCATCTTGCTTAATTGCAGGATCATTTAGATCAATCCCTTCTGTGGTGGGCCCATCGTCACTGTAGCAGCAATCTGGTAGTAGCATCACTTCCACCATGATTGGAAGGTTATTCTTCCACAATAATGCGACCTCAGACCTAGTTCGTCGGGCTTGGCGACACTTGGAGAAGATGGAGATAAGCAAAATGGCTCAAGAGCCCACCCAATTTTATATTTAAATTTGAAAAATATAATTGTAAAGCAGATATCTGTATGAAAATGAGTTGCCTATTGCAGGGCTCAGCTCAGGCTTGTCTGCCTATTTAGGTTTCCTCATTAAACAATGCATCAGCACTAGGAGCTCTAGAGTGTGGGGATTAGTAGCAAACAACAATTAAGATGCAAATTTTCTCCGGGGAGGATATCTTTGCTCTATTTTGCGGAAAAAGAACTGCCATGCCCAATGTCTGACAGGCCGCAAGATGGCCCAGCCTCGCCTCATTTGTTAATTACATCATCATTAATTAGAGGAAAGATTCATTCTAAGATCAAAATATTAAAAACTCATTTTCATTAAACACTCAAAGTAGACAACATTTTTAGAAGTTTAAAATTTTGGACTACAGTTAAGAGACTAACTGGGAGGAAAATCCTTACAGCAAATTATACGCTACATATCAAAATAAATATTTTTAACAGTATTCTACAAAAACATTAATGATAGCAAAAAGTATCCTCCCATTAAAAAGGGGAGGGATATAAGAGGGAAAGTGATTAATGTGGGGAAAATAATTATGAACATCAATCTATTAAATAAACAAGAACACAAAGTTGATGAACCGGGGCTGAGACTAAAACTAAAGAAAAGCTAATTCATAGTAACAAAGATAATCTTAAATCTGGTGTGTGTGGAGGCAGGTATGAAACTGGCTGCCCACCTGCCTGCTGATGGAAAAGCCTTTTAGAGCCTTGTTCACAGCCAAAATTATTAGCTGCAGTTCAGGATTAGTACCTTTTCTTTATGTTGTGACCAATTTTATACTTAAATGTGAACATTATAATTGTGATTTAACAAAGTCAATGACAGAATTTAAACAGGTTTATATAAAAGATAAAAAACATTCAAAACACAGTTCTCACCTGGGCCAGCTTATCACTACATTCATGTTTGCTAGTTACTGGGTAACAGGACTGTGCTGGAGGGCAATGGAAACTTTCCGTCCGACCTTTAACAGAACATTCAGGTGTTCGTCCTTCTGTTATTAACAAGGCCAGAGAGACCAAGAACTCCTCTGCATCATATTCAAAATATTCATCCAGACTATCTGGTATCAAAAAAAAGAAAGAAAGAAAGATGGGTCCTTGCTTTAAGGTATTCTTGACAAGAACTCTTTTTTTTTTAACATCTGTATTGGAGTATAACTGCTTTACAAGAACTCATTTTTTTATGTCTAAAATAACTAATACCATAGCCCAAATTCAAGTATATTCACTAACAAAGAGTGAAAAGAGAATAAAAGTGAGGCAATTAAAATACAATAAACCCTTGGTACTTCCCTGGTGGCGCAGTGGTTAAGAATCCGCCTGTCAGTGCAGGGGACAAGGGTTCGAGCCTTGGTGCGGGAAGATCCCACATGCCACGGAGCAACGAAGCCCGTGCGCCACAACTACTGAGCCTGTGCTCTAGAGCCCATGTGCCACAACTACCGTGAGCCACAAGTACTGAAGCCCACGCTCCTAGAGCCCGTGCTCTGCAATAAGAGAAGCCACTGCAATGAGAAGCCCGAGCACCGCAATGAAGAGTAGCCCCCCCTCACCGCAACTAGAGAAAGCCCGTACGCAGAAACGAAGACCCAATGCAGCCAAAATAAATAAATAAACAAACTTATTTAAAAAACCCAATAAACTCTTAATTCACAAGGTACAGAAGTCAGATGATGATGGATAATTCAAAATTTCATTTAAGACAAAGCCGGTTAAAATTACGGCATAAAATTGTTTTTATGTAAACTTCAATTAAAATGTTTAAGATTTAGGAGTACATTTATAATCTTTTAGATAATGATATTTTTGGACATCAAATACAATAGTTTTCACACACAAAACTTCGCCAATAGCCAAAAGGTCAAAATGTCTTATTAGGTCATATAAATATTTTCAGCTAAGACGTTTTATTACTGTTATTAAATATTAGAAAAAGAGGCAGATACAAATGTATGTTTCTCCCTTTCTCTCCCTCTCCCTTCCTGAACTAGTTCCTTGTTCTCAGAGCCCTAATTCTGTGATGTGGACACTCACAGCCACAGGGTCCTTCTCTTTCCTTGCTATGCAGTGGTAGTAGTTTCAGAGGAAGAAATTTTATAATTATCCAACAGGAGATGCAGGCCTGTATTGCAATATATGAAGTGTGATATTTTTTGGTTACTAGGCAGTTCCAAACAATCTAACCTGCAGATGTTTCACTTAGATATATTAAATTAAATTTTTTTCACAAGTCCTCCAATTTTAAAAGCACGGTTAGTCTTTAAAACTGTTAACCTGCTATGCAGGTTGAACATGCATGCATGTGTACATGCACACACGAAATTCAATTTATAGTGCAAACTTGAAAAGGTTGCTTTCTCTTATCTCTGCCAGCTAAGCAACACATATTTTAAGTGCCTAGCACACTGTAGTAGGTGACAAGGGGACACAAAGTTGTACTGCGCATAGCTAATAGTTTCAGAGGATTTGATTCAGGGACGATTTTTTAAAACAATAGAACACTGAAGCATATAATAAATTCCAAAGAAGTTCAGATAACAGTGGTAAAATTTTGCCAAAGAGGTAGATGTTAAGCTGAACCATGAGAGAGAAAGTGCAACTTGAGCGGAGCATTTGTACAAAAACAGTGTAGAAAAGGCAGGACTGGAGCCTGATTGTGAATAGCCTTGAAGAGTATGACGACGAGTGCCTATTTCTAGCCTCAGGAAGGCCTTACCAGGAAAAGAAGGAGTCTTGAGAGCCAACTTGATTGAGCTGGTATTTTAAGACCATTCAGTCCCTAAAATGACCATTTGCAATATATAAAATAACAGCCAGCACTTAGTAATGTTGTTAGGCATTGCCAGTTCTCACTACTTTCTATACATTAACTCATTTACTCCTCAAAGCACCTCTAGAAGGGACTATTACCACCATTTTTATAGATAACCGAAGCATAGAGAGGTTAAATAACTTGCCCAAGATCACCCAGCTAGGAAGTTGCAAAGTTGAAATTTGAACCTACACAAGTCTGGTTCTAGAATCTGAGTCCCTAACTACCCCACACATGCTTCCTTTCACTGTGGCTACAAATTTTGCCTTTATATACTTTAATAGACATTTGTAAAAATATAAATAATATGTATTCAACATATATTTTAACAATATATTTTGGAATATTGTGGTACAGGATTTGTTTCCAGGAAAAGGACCATAATTTATAATAATGTGCCAAACTGGGGGAAAAAAAGAGGTCTCAACTTTCAACTTCCCTCCAGGAACCAATTAGGTCATAAGCCAAGGGTCTCCTGTGGTCTCCTGGGACTCACTGAGTTAAACCATGGTGTCCTTCAGAGGGAAGCAAAAGACATAAAAACAAATCCATTCAGACCTTTCTCTGATGGTTCTGTGGGTTTTCAAGGCTAGCTCAGGCTTGCCATGGGCTGGCTACATGGGATGATTTTAGCTCCCGGGAGATTTCTCTGGGCTCATCCTTTTTCCTCTCTCGGACTGTGGGGTAATCCTGCAGAGCTAAGAATTGTGGCAGAGCAGTGGCTCTTACACTATGGAAAGCTGAATGATGTCAAGATGTCAGTTACTCCATGTGAGTACCAAGGATGGTTCACAGCCTAAGTAATGTCTCATATATATTTGGCAGTATTTTTTTTAAATTATAATTTATCTCCAAAACCCTAGCAGGATATCCATTGACAGATGAATGGATAAAGAAGACGTGGTACATATATAATACCATGGAATATTACTGAGCCATTAAAAAGAAAGAAATAATGCCACCTGCAGCAACATGGATGGACCTGGAGATATCATACTAAGTGAAGTTAAGTCAGAGAGAGAAAGACAAATATCATATGATATCACTTATATGCGGAATCTAAGAAAAAAAATGATACAAATGAACTTACTTACAAAACAGAAACAGACTTAGAGAATGAATTTATGGTTACCTGGGGGAAGGGTGGGAAAGGGGAATGAATTTATGGTTACTGGGGGGAAGGGTGGGGAGGGGGATAGATTGGGAGTTTGGAATTGACATGTACACACTGTTATATTTAAAATAGATAATTAACAAGGAGCTACTGTAAAAAAATAAAAAACAACCCTATCAGGAAATGGCTTACTCATATACTAGAAATTACCAAGTTTAAAGTGATAAAAATTAAACTGTTATACACTGTAAAGCAACTATACTCCAATAAAAATTTTAAAGAACTGTTACGTGATGACAACCTTTAGGAACTTGTCAGGAAAAATTTATGAGTGTCTGAATTTTAATAAATGAGAATACTAAATCACAGTAGTCATTAGAAAAGTTGCATTATTAAAATTTTGATAATTTCAATCTCTAAAACCTCTGCCATAGCGCAGAGTTTACTGTAATAAAGAATATGACTAAGGAACTGGGAAATTTTATGTCATACTAAAGAAAATTCATTAGATCCGACGATACTTTGAGGACATAGCTTACTCAAGAAATAAGGTATAATTTTTGGGTCTCTGAAAACAATTTACTCTTTACAAAAACAAAAAGTGCTGCAAATCTAGACAAATACGGGCTGCTAAGGCTTACCTACTAGCTATACATTTTAAAAGAGATAAATTATTTGATGTAAAATATAACTTTGAAAAGAACAGAAAGGATGTTATAAGTTGTCACAGGCTATCAATGACAATTGACAGTGGGAATTAATCTATCAAATCATAGTCCCTCTGCCCCCAAAACCTCAATGAGGATAGTGCTTACACCACAGTCGGACTAGAAGCCATGACCAGACTAGCTCCTTTTTTGTGGCACACTCTTCTGGCTCCGGAGTTCAGCCATCTTAAAGTTCTTCATCTGTTCTCTCCAACAAAAGAGGTTAATAATTTGGCCACTGGGAAAACCTTAAATAATCAGAATGACCCATAGGTGAAACAGACTAACTTGGGAAGTAAATTCTTCATCACCAAGGCACAAACAGACTGATAAACAATTGCCAGGGGTGTGGTTGAAGGGATTTAGCTGTCAAGTGGAAACTGAATTAGACTTGCAGTGGTTCTTTCAACCTTGAGAGTCTATGAATCTCTGTTCTTCAGAAGTACTTCATAAAAAACCTAGGGGAGAGACCAGAACCACCACTTCCTTCTTGGGAGGCCCTAACCAGGAGCCCCTCTCAATCAGAACTCATCATAAACACTTAATGGTGGTGCCTCTGGATCCTTGATTTAAAACAAAAACCTAGGATACTTCAAAGCTCTGTCTCAAGGAAACAGAAGAAGGTCCTTCCTACCATTGGGCTGCTGTATATACTGTTCAATGTACTTCTAAAGCCTGCCAAGGTAGTAGATTGCACCCCCCTCATATATGGAATAAAATGGCAAGAGAAGCATGAGAACCCCTGGGGGATTGCCAAAAAGAAAGTTTCTCTAAAAATAACGTCCTTTCAAACTTATGATGGACAATCTAATAATATGAATAAAAATTATTCCATGAATTTATTCCAATGAAATAATAGAACAAGTACACAGAGATGAATGTTGAAGGATATTTATTAAAATGTTTATACCAGTCAAAAATAATTGTAATCAATCTAAATGTCCAACAAAAAGGGACTGGTTAAATATACTGTGGTACAGTTTTATCTAAAATAATGATATAGATCTACTTTTGACAAGGAAAGATTATCTACATCATAAGTGAAACACAACTCTCAAAAGAATGTTATGATCACGTGTTTGTGGAATTACACATGCATAGAAAGATATACATGCAACAAAATATTATCAGTCTTATAAAGCAAACACACAAACACATAAACTAAATTTTAAATAAATTACTATTCTCTGACTGGCATTAGATAAATGATAAAGCCTATTAACTGAAAAATAATATGTAAATAAAAGAATTACATAGTGTCATATATTTTAATTAGAGTTATTGTTTTGTAAAACCCCTGCTAAGGAGATCATAGTCTGGTTACTCAGTAGAGGAATTTGTGAAGACACACGTAAGTAACAGCACACTGGTTCTGGTGTTGAAAAATTAGAACTTAGCAGTTTGAAACACTTTTCTGCTTTGCTTTGC